TTACAACAGTGGTTCCGTGGGGGCTCTCTTCGATTTCTGGTGAATTCCGCTTGGTCCAGAAAGATAAAGGAGATGAATAATTCGGTGAATCTTCGCTTGCCTTCTTTGCCCGCTTTACCACCTTTGAAGTAAAGTACGACGAGCCACGGAAACTGGAAGGGGGTGTGCAAGAAGAGTTTGCAGGAGGGGATGTTGACCCATCCGTGCTTTGCTTAAATCGACGGAGACTTGGACGTCTCATGACGCTTTGCGCCATACGATTATTGATATTCAAACTCGGGCATGTGCCATTAAATGATGTACAATGGATATAAAGGATATAGGAACATTTGTAATAGGGTGGACAAACGGGGGAGAAGTAAGCTGTATTGGTTTGCAATGATGCTGAGATCAGCCTCTTAGCAGATGCAAGAATGCAAGTCGTGGATGCTTTTTTGGAATTAGACTATATCCATCAGCCATCTTTGGCAGGTGCGTCGATACAGTTCATAGTTGCGAGACAATACCCATAAATTACTCACTGGGTAGGTACCTACTCCCTTTCAAAACGGTTCAGTTCTGCGTCCCAAGATGAGATCACATAGAAACATACACTAAACACCCAAATTAGGACTTAGCGTCCCCCAAAGAGTGTGAGTGAATCCTAAATAATCAAGCATTCAAGAACTACCTGGCACTGGCCATAATTGAATTGGTAAACATCTGCTTTGATTTTGAGACTTTATGAATCAACTCAGCTATCAAAATCTTTATGAACAAGCTATACAGAAGTTGTACATTACCATGCACACATCCATCATCTCTTCTCTCCTCCCATCCCCGCACTCCCATCTCAATATCCTTTCAAAACGCCACCCTCCCATCCCATTCCAATCTACCCACTTCCACCCTGCTCAACCTCCTTCGCAACTCTCGCTTCCATTTTTCTCCTTGCCGCTAGAATCATCTCCTCTCTCCTCTTCTGCAAAAGCGCCTGTCTTTCATTTTTATTAGAACTCCAAGCTGCACCCCCTCCTTGCTTCTGTTTCGATTCTCGCTCTTCAGCTTCTCGTTTTTCCGCTTGTTCTTCAGCTAGTTTCGCTTTCAGATTGTATCGTGTTATTAAATCTGGCTGGGTGGGCTTAGAAGATTGAATTGATGTTGAAGAGGCGGCGGCGGGTGCTGGGAGCGGAGGTTGGAAAGATTGAGGAGGCTTGCATGATATTAGCAAATGTATATCAGGTTAAGTGAGAAGAATATATGTAAAATGTGAAGCTTGTCGCAAGATGTTTGAAACATAGTAAAGGTATAGCAATACTCACAACTTCTAAGCCTCTCCCACTCAATATCCGCTCCGTGGTAGCCACTACATTCCCTCCATTCCGCTGTAAATCCCACATAATACTCCTCCTCGGCACCTGCGGAAACATCTGTTGTATACGCTCTACATCTGCCTCTCGTGCTCGAACATTGCTTGCGCTATTGCGATTCGAACCTGAAGAACCGTTATTGGACCCGGAGAAAAACAGATATCGCACTGCGAATGCTCCGACTAGGATTATGATGAGGAGTTGTGGGATATTGACTGTTTGATCAGACATTGTGAGAATTAGATGCTTTACGCTTCAGATATTAAAAAGGGAGAGGTCGAAAGTTTAGAGTATGTCTGCAATGTGCTGACTGGTGGGATGAGTTGCTGGTTGGGGATTTTGAGCTAAGCTGAGCAATAAAGGAAGCTCGAGTTGATCTGCGGAGATATCGATCGTATCGGAGCTGATAGTGGAATAGCTGGTTTTCTTGGCTAAAAATAATTATCTATGGCCAGACAAAATCCAGAGCAAGTTGGTGCTATCTACCTCGATAGAACATTAGAGAGCATCGATGTACATCACAAATTATAAAATGGGTACTTAAATGTAATGTCACAGCAAGTGTGGCTGTAGTTGATTCTCGTCTAAGGTGATGGAATGACCCGAAGTCAGCCCGGGATTATGATCTTGGTACACTCAAAGAAGAACCCATAAAGCATACTTGTTTATCAAAGTAATAATCGAACTTATTCTAATAACTGACATTCCAAGTTTCAAAACCTGTAGGTTCTCTTGTTTACAGCTATCACAAACCATTGGATCACTTTTAGCTTCAATGGATTCCATTTCTTGAAATGTTCGCATAAATGTTTGAGATATAAGTATATCAATTCACAATCAATATGTACTCCAGAGCTTGGAACCGTCCCAATATTTCTCTCTTATTGGATCATATTCTTCCATAAAGTCCCACGGGTATCATACCAATCCACGCCTTAACACCATAAAACCAAGTAGCTGCGACTACGTCCTCAATATCATTCCATTTCCAGAGCTCAATACCCTCCTCGGCTCTGTGAGTCTGTGACCGATGTTGATCTGCCCCAACATCTCCGTATCACTTTGCACTGTATAATTTATCCTTCCAACTCAGCATGATAAGTCGGCGGAGGCGGAATCGCTCTATTTCTTATATCTTGTCTCCCTGATTCATCCCTCCTCTCATGCGCAGGATTAGCATTGCTATATGCAGACTGGGAAGAGGCACTGCGATAATGAGCCGTGGCTCCCTGGGTTCCCGGGTTTAGTGGTCGAGATGAATTCCACATATTGCTTCCGACTGGATTTTGCCACGACGCTACTCTTGTCCTGTTATCATTGCGCATGCTATCAGCAGAGCTTTGGTAAGACACGCGGCCTGTTGAATTTCCTGAGGCCTGATTAGAATCGTTCCAAGATGATGCACTTTCGCGGCGGGCATCTAGGGCTCGAGGATAAGCTGAGGGATCGTAATTGGGATAGATGGGCTTTTCGTTAAATTCGGGTTCCGCTTGATGTTGAGGTGGGCCAACTCGAAGAGCGGGGTGTACTTGCGAAGTCTGTAGTTGCGGACTCTGTAAGGTTATGGGCGGACACACCTTTGATGTCTGTGAAGCTGGTGTGTTTTGCGCAGCAAATGTAGCGTATTGTGGTGATCTAACTTCAGACTCTGCAGATACACTATCGTTATCATAGTCGTTGATTGGAGAATATGCAGTCGATGGTTGTGATAAGGGCGTTTGTGTTGAAAATGGTCGTTGTCGCTGTGTAGCGTATTCTGGCGTACTGAGGGTTCTCTCATTCAGTCGAGCATTGCTGATAGACCGATCTAGAAGTTGAGCCTTAACCAGTAGACGGTTTACTAACGCGGAGTGTGATTTCTTGAGAGTTTTCTTGACAAAGCTTGTCATAACAATATTGCATTTCATATCGACATCCTCTCTCAACCATAACCCGTGTAAAGGTACATTAGCTCCCATTTCGACTGGCGCAACTGGTTCTCCGGGTAGCGATCCACCAAGAGTCCACTTTCCTCTGATATTTAATCCCAGAGGCGCATAACAGTGTGTTTGCAATCCATTTTCGAGATCGTGAAAGCAGCAGGTATACGAGACCTTTCCGGACATCAGTCCCCCAGGAAGATATTGTACTCGATCAGTCAAAGAGTACCATAAACAATGATATTCTTCGGCAGTAGCATTTGGTGGAGGTTTGATCGGATGACGTTCTTCCACTAGAGGATTTAAATCTATCATTTCGACATGCGAGCGCAAAGTTTCCATAACTGTCTCTCGTGTGATACCTGCTGGTAACGGAGTCACCGTTGTGAAGACGGTCCTCTTAGACATGATGCTTGATGATGCTTGTAAGTAAAGTTTAATAAGTGGTCGATCAAAAGGAAATAGATGGAAAGGCTCAAGATCAAGATACTGCAGTCGATGAAGGAGTGCAAGGAAAATTAATACGACAGTAACATCTATGAAACTGGAGATCTATAACATGAGACGAACTTATTCAGCTCCGAAAAATGCACCTAGGAAACAAGCAAATGTTAAATCATCTATTCTAGATAGATAGATACCTTATTAGTACCGGTAGGTAGATAGGTTACCCCGCCCCAACATAAATCTAACGTGAGATGTCTATCTCTCTAAAATAGAGTTACCAATGCGATTTCCGACAAATCATCTTCTCAGCTCCGCACGATTAGTTTTGCGCGCCACCAAAGCACCAAAATGTAATGAATCCTTTTTCTCTTTGGTGATTCAGAGGTGGCTGACGCTTGCTACGGTTCGGGTAGTGAGATTCCGATGGATGCTTACCTAGATATTTTGGGGAGTGTGTTTGTGTGTACGGCGTAGGGAAAATATATGTACTATGTATGGATGGATATTTGGATTGGATATGATTGATATTATTCTTATACTTTTTGTACTTGCTGAGTTGGGGATCGAACGACTCCTTCGCGTTTGTTAATACCTACCTACCTAGGCTGGAATTGTGAATACAATATTAAAGACGCAAAATGTGATGGAGAAAGGAAACGAACGTGATATATCAGATTACTAGTCTGGGTTATATATAGTTCAATAGAACAGGTGTTTGCTACATTGAATAAGGTTACTCACATCTATTGAATTCAAACTAAAATGTAAATGAAGCAGGGCAGGGCAATATATGCAGTGTTTGAATTAGACGCTGGATTTCAGAGGATAGAGTAAGTTAACAAATAAATGATTGGCTTGATATTGGAATTTTGCAGCGGGTGATATGAGGACTGGAGGCGCCGTGGGTTTATGAGGTATGTAGGTAAGCGGATTTGAACATTGATAGGCGAAGTTTGTTATTTTGGAATCTTGGGGGCGCGGCGGTAATGGGATTTATCTATTTGTTTTGAAAGATCTTGGGATATTGGAGTTTCTCTTGTCTGATTTTGTTCAGTTGAGTATTGTGAGTGGTGTGTTGTTTGGTGGGTAGTTGGAATTGTGTGTGATATACCTACTAGGTAGGTAGTTCAGATGATGCTGAAAGATTTATAGTGGCTATTGCTGAGTTGAAGTACTGTAGTTTGGAATGTTAATTACAGTTTAGAATTTCTGGATAATATACTCCTAGCAAATTGAACTTAGTATCTGAAGCACTTCAGAGGGCTATCAAAACAATCCAACATTAAATTATAAAATGTATTAATATTTATTTTCATTACTTAACGCTATAGAATCATGATATCATGCTACCAGTATTTTTTTAAAAGATAACTCCATCTCCCTAGAAGGTATATATGCACATGAATCTCCAAATCAACCATTACACCATGGGCGCATAATACATTCAATTATTTTACATTCGAATTCTCTCATACTACCGTGATCAGTGCCTAGTAATCACAACAATCACAAAGCAGCCATAACCATGGCAGCAGCAGCACCACCAACAACCCATTGTGCCTTGGCGGTAATCATAGGCATACCTCCGGTAGAAATAGCAGATCCCGAAGCAGATCCCGCGGCAGATCCTGCAGCAGATTTCGAAGCAGAAGCGGAGGCACCAGATGCGGAGCCGGTAGTGGTTGCTGGACCAGCGGTGATGGTGACGGGAACAGCGGTAAAAATATCGGCGTACTCGGTGCTACTGATGGTTGTAGTATCGACGGAGGAAAAGGTTGTTGATGCTGCGGCTTCAAGTTCGGTGTAGCTACAGACTCCAGTAGAACTACCGGAGAGGACGCAGCCAAGTGTCATTGTACTATTAGGGTAAATGTTAGTCTTGGGTTTCCAAGCATGTGATGTGAATACGTACGCTTCACCGGTTGGGTATGATGAGCCGGAAGCACTGTCCGTGACGGCAAAGTCTTCGGCATCGCCAATTGTGTAGGTATAAGCGATTGTTGAAGGGCCTTGCGTAAAGGTGAAGTTAGGAGGAACACCACAATCGTAGCTGTCGTCGTAGTAGGAAGAAGTGGTAGCTGGAGCAGCGGTTTTAGAACCACAGGCAATGGAGTAGGTGGTAGCAGTAGCGTCCTAAATAACCGTTATGGTTAGAAAATCTTTGCGGTTCTGTGATTTACAGATATAACCTACGGAAGCAATAACAGAACCAACGTATGGAGCTTGTTCAGAACTGTTGTAACCATAGTCGAATCCAACAAGGAACAAATCTGTTACAGTAGTTGTCTGAGCAGTAACAACAGTACCCATAAGGGCAGCGGCAAAGGTTGAGATGGCAATGGCGTGCATATTAGCGAAGATTTGATTGTAGTCTCGAGAGGAGTCGATTTGGTAGTTTTATTTTATTGCAGATCTGCTGGAAAGTCTGTAGAAGGAATGAAGTTGAAGTTGGATTTGAAGTTGGTGTTGAAGCTGAAGACGAAAGACCGAGTATTTAAATCTACGCCTTACTTATTACTCGCAGCGGCTTTTGCCCTGTCTTGGAGAGTGAAGCTATCTCCTACGCCCCTGTCTTGCTAGGTATTCCTCCACTAATAAGCATAAGACTGATATCTGGGCATCTGATAAACCTCCGATTGGATAAACAAGATTGGATTTAATGGATTTTCCTTGTATGACAGCGGCTACTTCAATGTTTGTCCCCGTTTACTAAGAGAACAACGACCCTTTGATCCCGTTTAGGAACTACGAAATCTACGATGTAGGGTTTTTACATCGCTTAAAGTCTAGATGGATAGGCATCGGCTAGGGAATGATGGGAGTCATCAGACTTTTGACATACAATTGTCTGATCCGCACAGGGATTCGGTATATCATTTTATTTCATTGAATCCAATCTTGACGAGAAAGATCGATTTACATTTAAGCTTAATGAGTTTTTGGGTTGATTGGACATCTGAAGCTGGAAACCTGCGATGAGAACAAAACAGCTTTTATCTGCGAGATTACTTGACAATCGAAGTGAAATAGAGGAGATGAGTCGATACCGGTAAATGCATGTTTCCCCTTCACTCGTGTGATCCTACCGCACCTCAAAGTCTAGAGACAGACCCAAGAAAGAATGCCAAGAAAAGAAGCCCCTTTAATCATCAAAATGGGGAAGTGGGATCAAGTGGGTCATTTATTTCGACTATCCCCAATATGCTCAAGCTTCAGGCAGCAGATACAATTTTTCACGGAACACACATAGCATTGCGGCACAGCACGGGAGTCACGGGAGTCACGGGAAGTGCCACATCGACTTTCCTTCAGGTCAAGAAATAACTTGAACAAATCAGAAAACTACACGGCATCATCTTACATCTTGGTGGTCACTTTGATAACAACGACATCGTCCAGTTGAAGAGTCTCCATCATCATCGTCGCCATCATTCAATATCGACAACTACACTCCACTCCTCCGTCACCACGCCCATTGAGAATTAATCCTGGATGATCTCAACTCCAGTGGGTCAACTCCTCCAAATAATATGGAAATCTACACGCACATACCCAAAACCCAAGAATTTCACTCTGAAAATTTGAGTCTAGCTTTTCAATTTATTAAACCTACTTTCAGGGATTTCAAACTTTATTTGAGGATCAACAACTTTATTTGAAGCTCATCCGAAGAGTTCTATCGCGTCAGGTATATTTACTCACTACTTATAGTATCGTACGATCGCTAGATAGTACATTCTTGGTATGCTATTGTGGAATGGTATTTTTATAAATAGCGAAGTGTAGAAAAGATTGAAACTTCAAAGGCATGATCCTGGATTTAAACTGCACAAAGTTGTGCCTCTTGTGGGATTTATTCCAAGCACTCCAAGATTCAAGTATCTCCAATTTTTCACGAGCATCAGAGCATACGCGAGTCGCTCTTGGAATGAAGAATACGAATTGGAGCCGTTAAAATCATTCAAGTGCCTCTTGACAATTGGATTACTTTCCGCGATATTGTCAATTTTACAAATACCTCGTGTCAGGAGGGATGGGCAAATGCAAGGAAAAATTATTTCTATAGGATTTTCCCAGATCAAGGTCCTCACATCCCTCCGAGCGCTCATTTGTTGCACATCGCACTTTAGAAAATGGGTCTTCAGCAAGTTTACGAATGTTTTGTTGCATCTCGCACTTTGGAGGCGTCTGTCGATCATACACTTAGCTTCATGTCCCGAGTCATGCAATGCATATGAAATTATGAATTGTTTGTTTGCGGTATGGACAACTCTCGGCCCATTTAACATGCACGGGAAGGGAGAAACCGTTTAGTTGAAGCCGTTTGCTTCCTCATTACTCCAACCCTACACTTTGTCTTGAGATTGAAATAAGGTTTGGAGAATATGGAAAGAATTGTGACTAGCTCAGTTGGCTCTCGCCTTCGGTTCCTTCACTCGCGAATTTTTATGACATTTTCCTTTCCAATTACGTAGAAATTTGCATCCCTACATCTTCCTGTAGGACATAAGTGCATCTTTTCTCGTATTATTCTCCACCTGCTCGTCTTGTTTCCTTAGCACTGTCATTGGGGTTTCTCCCGTCCCTCTTATCGATCCCTTTCTATGCGTCTATTTGTTTCTGCAAAGCTTTGCTCATTTCCATTCCTTGCACCTTATGTCTTTAGGGTCTTTCATAACGGCATGTTATCAAGTATACTAAGACCTTCACTTTTACCGTTCGGGGAAATCCAGTGGTGCACAAATCGAAGTAGTGATGTTATTCGAAAATAAATTTTTGTCAAATCTTAGACTGTTTCAAGAATATCTCAGGTATGGGAAGTCTCTCGATCTAGTATTTCTCTACGCGCGTAAACTATCAGGCTTCAGCTTAGCACGAAAATGTTCATTCTCATCTATTTCAGCAGAAGTCTATGTGGAGAGCCTTGCCTTCCATGTAAGAGAAAAGAAAATGGCTGACAATGCTGTGCCCCAAGAAAGCATGCGGCACATTTGATATAAAATTAAAAGCCCAGCATACGATGTGACGTTTATATATCATAGGGCCGTCGTCTGCAATTGCGACGCGGCCTGATTTAGATTCATGGCTAATGCCTCATGGACCTTACGAAGTCCATTTCTCAACAAACCAGAGCGAATTCTGGCCAGAAACGCTTTCTGCATCAACTCCAGACATGTGTTCCGACTTTTCATTCGCCACTATGGAATCAGGATGCCCTTTGGGTGGGCTCTCAGAGCCGAAGGCGTGGTCGTCTTGGGGCGTCCACTCAGGACCGGAATTGACGACTGGGAACTTGGTCAATGTAAGATTTTATGAACCTTATTCGAGTACCAACCGATAGCTTGCTTCATCGGTGCTACAAGACTGGAGCTATTCATATACTTCGTTTGTGTAGCTGTTTCCCTATGTAGCTTTACAAGGCCTATGGAACACAATCGCACCCCTCAATCTACGTGGAAATTCCGTATCACAGCCTAAGCTTTCATCTCAAGCTGCAGCATCTATCCTCCAGCCCTTTATCCAAGTTAAATGCAATATTTTTGAGTCTGATAGTATCACAACGGGCAATTGGAGGCCCGGAAGCAATATAAAATTTCCGTTGATTTCTGGTCTCACCAGTCATAATTCGGATATGCATGGTGATATTAATACCATCACGATATCTGGACTTGACTTTGATAATTTCGAAGAAGAGAATAACATCCATATGACCTGGGTTAACTTGCATGACTTTCATAACTCAGCATCCATCGGTGCCGTTCTGAAACTTCCAAACAACGAAAATAGCATAGGGCACAATTATATTGTGCCCTGCGCTGTCGATGCCAGATGGATTTCTGCCGAATTGAGTATTGAGCCTGCAACAAGCCAAAGCGTCTTTGGTAATTTCGGGGGCTTGGGAGCTTTCTCTGATTTGGCGGCTTTGATTTCAGACATCAATGGAAGTCGATCTTCAGGCTTGGCTTCCATCGTGGGTGATATGATCAAAATTGACCTTGAATGGGCGCAATTGATGAATCTTGTGACTCCTATTGATCACATGTATCCTTCGAGCGTAGGTATGCGAACCAATAGTACGATTTATATGCCAAATACAACTAGCATAGAAGCTCTACTAGAGCAGAGATTAGGTCATACTGGGCAATTTCCGAATATATCATCATCTTTCGATGCTCCAGACCTATTTAACGCATCAACTCCCGAAATGACGATTCAAGCCTTCATTCCAATATTCCTAGGCATTCTCATAACCGACGCTCTGGCCCGGTATACACAAGGTGATATATCCTTATTGTCTATTAGTTCCGAGCCAGACACAAGCACATGCATACTAATGGTCTACGTGTTCGGTTACCATACATTCGAGCTTCCCTGTGACAACCCTCGTACCAGCTCGTGGAAGTTTGATCTTTGGAGACGGGGTTATAGTTACGGTATGAAAAGCTCTACGACTTGTTTTGCACTAGCTGGTCTCCTCGCACATACTCTCATGGCGCTTATTTTTATCGTGTATCTATGTTTCGCAGGCTGGACGACGAAATCGTGGGGCTCAATTGGAGAATTGGTTGCGCTGGCGCTGATTTCCAGGAGGACGAAAGGATTTCGGGGAACGGATGCTGGGATTAGTCGTGCAGAGACTTGGGCGCAGAATGTAAGGATTGTGGAGGCGGGAGATGGGGGGTTGGAGATGAGATTTGAGGACGGAGAGGGGGGGGGGGTAATCGAGATGGGAAAGAGAGTGCAGGTGGGCAAGAAATATGGAGATCAAAAAGCGGCCGTGAAGACTATCAAAAGAAGCAAAACTTCTGCCGCTATGCCTTGAGATTAGACTTGAGCTGGGCTTCGGAAGAGCAAGCTATTGGGGACGCAGTACCCTGTTAGTAGTTGGTTCCAATCGCAGAATGTTCTGTACTGCGATCTTCAGCTCTCAGATCTTCCTCTCGACAGAGATCTTATTATCAGACTATTTATTGCCAATGTTAACATCTATCTCCCGAAGGAGAGGCCTTAATAGAGGGCTGCTCCGGCAAACCTATTAGGTTTGCGCTCCCTCAAACGGATAATTGTGTACAGACCATCGAAACTGATTTCTTTGCTCTGGCCTCCGATTTGAACTTCACTATAATCCGATGTGAAGTTTTTCCTTACGTTGTGGACAAGTCAGTGGGAACAGGTGGAGGATATGTTTGCGAAGAAATAATTCACAGAGAATTCTCACCCTTGCAGTAATGTTATCCGCGGATATCGGAGGCTACAGTACAATTCGACTCGAGAGGCTGTGGAGATTGTTCATGCTGTTTCCAAACAACATAACATAATGATTGGCAAGTTCAAAGTCAAGCTTTATTTTCTTACGAGGTCATTTTAATCCTTGGGTCAGCAAATAGACTGGTGTGTGAACGAATACGCAAGCGGCGTTCTGGGTGTGGGTTATTCGGCTTGAATGCAGAGTGTTATCCTGAAGATCAATGAAAAGGTAGGCGTTAGAAACAGATGTGAGGTACTGTTTCAATATTTGAAATGCTTTTAAATTTTTATAAATAGCAATTATCTTTCGGGCTCGTTCCTCAATAATTCTCACTATTCACATCTCTACATTGTGAGTGGTTTCCTAAGTGATCATTCATAACATATATGCGGTATTTTTGGTCATGAAGTTCACTTTCACTCTGGTAAATACATCTTGGTATGCTCGTCTTCAGCAGCGTCTCGAGGCTGCTATGTTGCTACTGTCCTCTGCATTTAGTCGTGACGACGATTTTGTATCGCAAATTTTGATGAGACTATTTTTAACTGCCCTGAGACTTAACTTTTCGTCGTGAGGCAATATAGAGTAAGTCAATGCAACAGAGTAGATTCTTCCTCTTGCTGGGAAACATAAACTAGAAGTTATAGTTTTGAAAGCAATTGACAGTGACTGAGGTCTCACACTTCTATGAACATTACATGTACGATACGATCACTTTGTCAAGATCCTACTATTTCCCTCTATGCTTACCAGCTCATACAGTCTTTCCCAATTTCCCTCATCATCAATCTAATAGTCAAGACCACAAGCAGGAAGATAGCATAGCATGACAACCCATCAATCAATCCTGAAAAAGAAAACTCTTCCCATACCAGACACATGACTGTTCATATGATTCCGAAGCGCTGGCAATCAGCTTTTTCTTCTACGCAAACATTCAGAGAACAGTCTGATGATCAAGATCTAACCGGTTCTCTTACAGGTTATGTATCCTACATATAATATCCAAAATCATCACGTTTTGACTGCATCATCTGCAGATTCTTGTCCCTTCAAGCAACTCTCACATTCCGTGCGATTCTCTTCGTTGAAGTTCTTATTTCTAAAGATCGAAGAATCTACTTAAATTGCAGGGTGGTATTTTCTACCTTCATCTTCATCTTCACCTTCAAACTCGGCTTGAAACACCCACTACAAGCAACACAATAAGAAACCCCAAAGGCAACCAGTCCCCAGATATCTAAGCGAGAACGACCACAATCCTGCATATAAATTTCGCTACCTTAGACGAAACATTCACTACAACATTAGAACAATTGGATTCATAGGCAGACTAGCGAATCTGCATCAAGCGAAGCGAAGCTGAGGGTGCTGTGATATTGAACTCAAAATAGATAGTAGAGTCCTCTAATAAAAACTAGAAAATTCCAGCACCTCTCCTCTTCGCTGGATTTCGTATCTATAGGTTAAGTATTTTATTTCTCTTCTCTCTTCCCTATTCCATTCTTTCCTTTCCTGCTCCATTAACAAGCAAAGAGGATACCGCTCGAATTCTCATAGCAATCTCTTCAAACGGGACTCTCATCTCTCATCTTTCACACGAAAGGCGCCACGTCCAGTTCAAATCTCTCATTCAACCTCACACAACCATCTCGTACCTACCATCTCACCCCCACAAAACAGAGCTACCTCAGATGTCTCTCAACCAAGCAAACAATGGATTTATCTCCCCATACTCCCCTCTCTCCTGGACCACCGGCTACCGCGCCACTCGCCCCTTCTCCCCTCACCTCCACAATCCCCAATACCCCAACTTTCCAACCACCCGCCCCTTCTTCCCCCACTTCATCCCTCGACCACCCTCCCACCCCCTCCAACCCACCCCCTTCTACCTCACCCAACTACACCTCTCCCGTCCCCCCACAATCCCCAATCCTTTTCCACACCCCTCTCCATCCGCTCCTCACTCTTTCTCCCGCACTCTCCTCTCCAAACTCGCGCCCTACTTCCTCCGTTTCCGCACCGCGGCCTTGCTCCTCTGGAGTACCATCTCTTTGGTTATTTTCTATACCCTCGCGATGCTGCGTCCGTATTATCGGAGTTTGGGGAGGAGAATGAAAGAGATCGATTGGATGGCGCTGGGGAGTGCTTTTGTGGTATTTGTTTTTCTGCGGAGGGGTGAGAGGGGAAAGTGGAGTGGAGCGGGGGAGGATGTGGGGATTGGGAATGGGAATGGAGAGAGGGAGATGGGGATGGGGATGGAACCGGCATATGTGATTGCGATTGGGTATTCTAGGAGTATGAGATGATTGGTGGGGGCTGAAAATGGGAGAGGTGTTTGTTGTTTGAGTTCGAGTTCGAGTTAGGGGTTGGGGATGGGGGACTTGTCGGTTGTGAATTTGAAGTCTTTGGAGGTGGGATTGAGACGGAGAGATGAATGAATGAATGATGGATGGATGGATGGATGGATTGATCATCTCGTGGAATCAAGAGGATTTGTTTCAATCAATCAAAAAATCGTGGTTGGTTCTATTATGCCTAAACATGTTTTCGGCAGAGCCATCACCGTCCATTATTTCTATCTATAGGTCATCGTATTATGCCTAGTAGTATTCCAAGTTTTAACTAGAATACGATTATCACAAATTTCAAAATATTTCACAGAACAAAAACTGAAAGATAATAAATGTGGACATGAAACTCAATGCATTATACATGGTAACTCAGCCCCGGTCACCCATTGATCTAAAGACGGAGGGAATCAATACAAACAAGAGAAAACCCATCTATGTAACCGCTTAAATGCCCAAAGAAAACTCAACACCAACATCGATATCACGAGCTAATTTACGTTAGCGTTAATCATCAACGATCATGGATTGAAAGTGAACTTACCCATCTTCACAACCTTTGAGAATTGGACAGCCTTCTCAGCTGCGCTCTGCAAGTCATCAATGGAGAAGATCTTAAGACCAGAATCGTTGATCAACTTGTGTGCAGCTTCCATGTTTGTTCCTTGCAATCTTGCAATAATTGGGATTCTAAGGTTCATGCTCTCAACAGTGCTGATGAGACCTTGAGCAATAGCATCACAACGAACGATACCACCGAAGATGTTAACGAAGATAGCAGTAACCTTGGGGTCGCTGGTGATGAGAGTGAAAGCCTCCTTGATAGCTTGTGGGGTGGCTCCACCTCCAACATCAAGGAAGTTAGCTGGTTCACCACCGTTAAGCTTGATGATATCCATAGTAGCCATAGCAAGACCGGCACCGTTTACCAAACATCCGATGTCACCACCGAGCTTGATGAAGTTAAGACCAGACTCTGCGGCACGGACTTCCTCAGCATCCTCTTGGGTAGTATCGCGCCATTCGAAAACCTCCTTTTGACGGAACTCGGCGTTGTCATCGAAACCAAGCTTAGCATCCATGGCAAGAACCTTGTGATCAGAGGTCTCGGAGAGAGGGTTGATCTCGATTTGAGTAGCATCCTTCTCCATGAAGATCTTGTAAAGTTTTTGAACGGTATCCTTGGCATCCTCGATACATTGCTCACTGAAACCAATATCAGTGACAATCTTTCGTGCGATGTCATCAGTGACACCCTTGTGGATATCAATGTAGGTAGTAGTGATTGCGTTTGGGCTTTCCTTTGCAACAGTCTCGATATCCATTCCACCTTGAGACGAAGAAACGATGACTGGTCCTTGGGAAGCACGATCCATCAAGATAGCAAGGTAGAATTCCCGACGAGCAAACTTGCGCTCGCAGATATAGACAGAGTTGCAAATACGTCCTTGGGCACCGGTTTGCTTGGTGACAAGCTTGTGTCCAATCATTTGTTCTGCAAACATCTTTGCTTCGGTTGGAGAGTAGATAACCCGGACTCCTCCCTTTAACCCATTGTCGAAGGTACCCTTTCCTCTTCCACCTGCAAGAACTTGTGCCTTGATAACCATGTCATCTCCGCCAATCTTCTTTGCAATAGCCTCGGCCTCGGCGGCTGTTTTCGCAACAGATCCATCAGGAACACCAATTCCATACTGTATTCTCGTCAGATTCGTCTCCGCCCGCATGATTATTTCGTACCTTTCTTAACAAATCCGCTGAAAGATACTCGTGAATGCTCAAAGCTCTCTTTTGTTGCGCAGCGCCGACCATGCGGGATGGCATTGAGGCCTAGGATCATGTTAACTTTGTCGATAAGAGACTTTTTTGATATGTGGAAGAATTACCCTGCTTGCCTTCAAGGCAGCTGCCAAAGGTTGGCTTCTAGCTAGCTTGAACATGTTGATATTTATTAAAAGCGGAAGACACAATGCCGTCTTTCTATCGTAACCAGATCTTTTTTTCAGTGATTGTCCTTCCGTCAAACGGGAATTCGCGAAGCTAGTACGGGAAGCGTAATGGACCGACAACGCTACTTTCACGTGGGCTAGGTGGGATAAAAGATAAATCCTTGAAACATTTGAGTTTGAGCCTTGTCAAATTATTTTTATTCTACGAACGAATACTTTAGCCTTGTCAAGTCTTACAATATTAATAAACTCGTCTTGGTACAACGAATGAACATACGCCGCATTACGCGGTAACGCAGGACGAAGCTACGCAATTAAATCCCCCCGCACGAGGATTCAAATATCGCACGATACAGCCATTCAGAATAGCGCAGCATGGCCAAATTCGCAGATGATCAAACGGAAGCACCTCCACCCAAGAAAGAAACATGGGAGGAATTCAATGCGAAAATGAACCGCATACAAATGGCCCTCGCAAAACGTGAAGCCATTGCGGAAAACATCCTAGCAAAATACCCTACCGAAAGACGCCGTAAGACGCAGGAAGAAATCGACGCTGAGGATGCCTTGTGGTTTCCTACACCGGCGGGAAATCAACCACTTAATACAGATCCTGCTTTTGCGAAATTCTTAAAGCCGGCTGCAGAGCGGAACCAGAAAACTTTGCGCGATAAAATGCTTCCTTCGAAAGAGTTAAGAGCTAGTAAAGCGAGGGATGCCGAGGAGAAGGCTGCGAGTGCGAAGAGGGCTTTGGCGGATGCTAGTAGTGATGAGGACGAGGGACGAACTGCTCTAGGGAAAGCAAAGAAGCTGAAGACGAAACACAGCAAGACAAATGGAGGGGAAGATGATAAACCATTGATCAACAAAGCCTTGCTTGCTCAAAATCAGGTTGAAGAAGGAAAAGAACTGGTCAATAAAGCTTTGTTACTCCATCTGGAAGATGCAGATGAAAGCACCGAAGTTACCTCGAAGAAGTCGAAGAAAAAGAAGAGGAAGAAGTCGAAACAAAAGAATGCGCTGGCGGAAGAGGATAATGAGCAGAGTAATTTGGAAGATAAATCGCCTGAGGCTGTTGATCAAATGGATGTGGACGAGGAAGACTTCAATTTATTCCGCAGCAAGCCTGTCGATGTGATTCCAAAAGATAATCCACCTACCGATACTGAAAAGGCTTATGAAGGAGATCCTGAGACTGAACAGGCATCAGATGATGAGAGAAAGGCGAGGCAAGAAGCAAAGAAACTTCTGAAAGCCCAGAGGAAGAAAGAGAAAAAAGATAAGAGGAGAGAAGAAAGGTCAAAAATGAGTGTCGACACGGAAGACTAACAGTAGCTATCAGGTAAATTGTCCAAATTAGGTTTGGGCATACTATTTGATCTGCACCAATATGAACATACTATGATTTTGTCTAGAAGACACCCGAATTTCAACATCATTCTATCTTAATAATCCCCGTCGCATTTTAATTCATCCGAGTCGTATTGTTACATGAAACCCGTAAACCATATACCATACACATAATCATAATTACAAATAATCTAAACCTTTACTTCCGACTCGCTTTCTCTGCATCGCTTCCATATGAAACCTGTCCACTGCCATCCTCTGTCACAACTCTTCCCACACCACCCACGACCTCCCCATTATGTTCTGCCTCCTCGGCCGAAACAACTGGAGGGCCACTAAACTCTTTTCTACCTCTAATTACATACCAAAGAAGACTGATAGAAGCGAAGAAGACAAAAACTACACTCGCGTAATTCATACTCGTAGGAGTGACCGGAATAGCGGTTGGCATGCAGAAAAGAACGATGGCGAGAGTGATCCACTAGATAGTCATTGATTAGTAAATTAGCCAGAAGAAAGTATCTGTGATACTCACAACAACGGTGATAGCATTAATAGCAAATCCAAATCTTCCTAACGAAAATGAAGCATGCTTGACTGCCTGTCTTCCCCGAATAAGATTAACCAAAATGGGGATTCCATACGAGACCGACAAACAAATGGTAGCCACACCGGTAAAAGCATTGAAAGCACTGGTGGAGCCAAAATAGATGCATCCGAGCACACAATCTACTACAGTAGAAAGGACAAGGCCCCAAAATGGGATATCATATGTAGGATGCACGCGCTTCCAGATACGAGAACCGGGGATAGCTCCATCGCGCGCAAATGCATATGTGCAACGACTTGCAGCGGTCAAGGCGCCAACACCAGCGAAGAAGAGGATACCGAGGATTAGGAACAGAAGTCCGAATCCACCGGCTGCGGAACCAGTGACTGTTTTGAAAATGTAGCCGATGGGTTGACCGTTTAATTGGCCAAGAACTGAAGTTACATCGGGGAGAACGAATAATAGAGGAACTAAGTAGAGTATTCCAGTAACTCCCGCGGCGAAAACAGATAGAACCATAGCTTTAGGAACTTCTCGCTCGGGATTTTGTACTTCTTCGCACATGGCAGCTACCATTCCGTAGCCGGTTAAGGTGTAGGCGGCTTGAAGGAGACCAACGAACCAGGCCCATCCAGAAGGCCAACCGGATGCCGAAGCATCGAAATGGGCGAAAACAAACTCGGCATCTCGACGATTATTCGCCATTACTAGAAGAGTAATGATGATGATAATAACCGAAGCCGAAGTCCAGTATATACAGATTTTGTTGATCAAATCCAGGTATTTTGCACCGAATACATTTACCGAGAAAGCAATTGCCATAACGGCCCAGAAACATAGGACGGTTTGCCATGCATTGGCCACGAAGTCTTCATTAAAGATCGAGATGGAACTTAAAATCAATTGTGCACCCTGCCCTCAGATATCAGTATTTCGATCGCTCATACCCCGAGAAGACTTAACATACCGAAAAGTTGATGGACAAAGTTACAGTCCAATTACCCACCAAGGTCAACCACCCCGTGATCCAGGAAACAACAGGAGCATATTTCCTGGTGCTAAGCATAGCAGACCAGTAACTATGTTTCAAAGTGTCAGTCTAGACTTTTCCAAGGACCTCGGTGTTTCTCGGGGAAGCTCGGCATTGACAAATATCAACGTCGATATTTTATGAGAGAAAAAAATTTCTTGGTTGGACTTACTATACACCTCCAGCAGTTGGATACACACTGCATATCTCAGCCAGTGAGGCAGCTATAGCAAGTGATATACACGATACGAAGATCCAACCATATAAAACGGTCACAGATTGACCATCGGTCAGCGAGTAAGCGAGTGTCGTGCTGAGACCGAAAGGAACTGCCATAATAGCGAATGATCTAGTGCTTTAGTCAGTATTGGCCATTGGAGCAAGAGGGGATAACGTGCAGGCCTAGAATACTCATCATACTCAGGGAACGAGGCAATTCAGCCGTGTATCCCATATTAGCCAACGCAGCATCTTGATTTGAAGCCGCCATTGTTATAAAAGTACACAGATACACGCAAACAAAGTTGGAAAATGCTGAAAAGCAACAAAAAGATTGATTAAAAAGATACTGGGAGGTTGAATCTCTAGCAACAGAGGGAGTTGAAGTATGTATATGGAAGTGTTGATAAAGGGTCAAACACTGGGGACTCCAAAGACCGTGAGATGGCCGAGAGATAGAGAATGGATTGATAACTTATCGATGGTGATAGCGTCTAAATGTCGGGGAAACCCAAAAGTCTTGGGGAAATTTGTCAATGGCGACCGTCACTTACAAGGAAGTTGGATCCAGAACTTAATTTGATGAGGAATAACGTAAAAGAATTGTCACACAAAACATCAGCTTTTACCTTCATCCCGTGAAAACCCAAACGCCATTTGTGGCAATGGTTATCGTAGATAGGTTCTGGTTACTAGGTAGGTGCTAGGCAGGTACACTAAATGTTAATCGTGAAGTATAAAGCAAAGGTATATAAAAAGGGTCTCGGGGGGAAAATCTGGAGAAATCCCACGAGACATATACTGACCGGTAAAAGCATCAAACAGGAGCGAGGGAAAGGGGGAGGGATACATAGAGTCATCCTTCATCCTTCAGCCTTGTTTCTCCTTCATTATCTACCAAACCTACAAAGGACTCACACGTTGCCAGAAAGCATGCAAATCGGCCGCTAAGAAAACCCGGTTGCTCCTCTCGCTCCTCTTGTAGTTTGCCATCTTGTGGTGTGTGCATCTAGCTTTGGAACTGCATACTTTCTAGCCGCACAGATATCAGATGGATGGCTCGAGGATGGGAAGTTGGAACGATGAATATTGTTGAATTTGGGGAATCCACATCAAACAATGATATGATTAGATGAACGGGAATTTTATGCATCCTTCTTATATGTTGTCAAAGTGACGTGTTAGAATTTAACCAATCTAATAAATGAGTATCCATGAAGGGGAAGAAGAAAAAATCGGTGGCATAATTTATAAATGAAGAAGATGTTCGAGAACACAATTTCTGATTTATATTTGTATATCACACTGCCCGCTGTTCAAATGGATTAGATGAAATGTTTGTGTTGCACTTCAAGTTCCTCTCAACCCATTCTTGATTTCCATATCAATCACGTGTATCGAATCGGCTAAAGTTGCTTCATATATCAAGTTGGATAGGTTCAGATCAGATGCCAATTGTCCCTTGAGAGAAACAAGGGTATCTATTCTTTTCAACGTCACTATCACTACTATATTATAGCTAGCCAATCACTGACATGGCTACTTCCAACATAAATGGTCATGGCGAAAGGCCTTCCGCAGCTGCAAGATTTCCTACAGCTCCCTCAGTCATGACGATGAATGGTGATTTTGCCTCTGTTGGCGATGCGCCGACAAATGAACAATATGAACATGGCATACAAGTTATTGATGAGCAGAAGGAATTCAAGTACGCAAAAATCGAGTTGGAAGCTCTACCATGGCTGACAGAATTTGTGTAGTCCCAATCTCAACACCTATCTTCAGTTCACAGATACAGCACACTCTGGCTTCAACTACCATCTTATATCAGTATTCGGGTCACAATCCACGGGAAAGTCTACGCTCCTCAACCATTTATTTGGCACACAATTCGGGGTAATGTCCGAGAGGGAGAGGAGGCAAACTACAAAAGGAATATGGATGTCAAAGAATAAGAATCAAAACTCTGGCGCTTCTGAATCCGAGACTATGGCCGACAATATTTTGGTTATGGATGTTGAGGGAACAGATGGTAGAGAGCGGGGTGAAGACCAAGACTTTGAAAGAAAAAGTGCTCTCTTTGCTCTAGCCACATCAGAGGTTCTCATTGTGAATATTTGGGAACATCAAGTAGGATTGTACCAGGGCGCAAATATGGGCTTACTCAAAACTGTATTTGAAGTCAACTGTCAACTATTCCTAAAGGACAAGCAGTATGTTTTCTTTTTGGAAGATCATTGACAAATTTAGTAACACTCCACAGGTCTACCCCACGATCCCTTCTATTCTTTGTTATTCGAGATCATCTTGGCACCACTCCACTCGCGAACCTCAAAGACACTCTTATTCAGGATCTAACTGCGATTTGGACTTCCCTTTCTAAGCCTGCCGGTCTCGAGAATTCAAAGATCGAAGATTATTTTGATTTCGCTTTCGCAGCTTTACCACACAAGATCTTACAACCAGACAAGTTCGTTACGGAAGTCCAAAAGCTTGGTACAAGATTCAGAGCTGGACACAAATCTACACGAGCCGAAGATGCTGGATTTGAGGGTGGTGTTTTCTTGCCAGAGTACCACCGTCGAATTCCCGCAGATGGATTTTCAGTATACGCAGAAGGTGTCTGGGATCAAATCGTGAGTAACAAAGATTTGGATCTTCCTACTCAACAAGAACTTTTGGCACAATTTCGTTGCGATGAGATCTCTCGGGAAGTTTTGGTCTCATTCGATGGAAAGATCCAACCACTTGAAGAGAAGCAAGCGGAAGATACCAGGTCAGGCAAACCTACTGTTATCGCGGACTTAGGTGCTACCGGTCAAACGACTCGCACCAGTACTATCAAGAACTTTGAGACACAAGCTAGCAGGTATCACAAAGGTGTATATGCTTTGAAGCGTACCGAGCTTGAAGGTAAAATCGATACGAGATTAAAGGCATTATACCACGGTCAACTTGTGGCAGCTCATAAATCTGGAGTCGCATCCTTTAGTGATGCCGTTTCGAATGCTGTTAAGCTTGGTCAAAAGAGGGCAGCTTCATATGAATTTGCGGATATTGTGGAACGTGAAAAAGAGGCTGCACTTAAAACTTTCGAGGCAGAAGCAAAGAGTCTGTATATTGAAGGATTAGCGTGGACTAATTTCAAGTCACAATACGACCTCTATGAGAAAGACCTCAACGAAGTTAGCGGTAATCTCAGAAAAGAAGAAATGAGACGTCTTGCAACACGAGTTGAGAGATGGGTTAGAACACGATTGAATGATTCCATTGGACTTGAATTTAACAAACTCGGTTCTGGAAGAGGTGGTAGTGGAGCCCCTGAGACAGGCGAAAAGCCTGCTTCTGAGAAAGACTTGTGGGACAGAATCTGGAAAACTTTCGTTGATACAGTCAAGGAAGCAGAGTCTAAATTCACCGATCGAGCAAAGAGCTTTGATGCTAGTGAGGATGAAATTGAAGTTGGTCTATGGCGTCTTAAAAGAAAGAGTTGGGGTGTTCTCAGAGCCAAGATTGACGAGGAAGTCATGGAAGGCAACATCCTTCTCAAACTTCGAGAAAACTTTGAGGACAAGTTCCGTTATGATGAAGCGGGTGTCCCACGTATATGGCGTCCTTCTGATGATATCGAGGGAATTTATACCAAGGCAAGAGAATCAACTCTTACCCTCATCCCATTATTGTCTAAATTCAAGCTTTCGGAAACATCATCACTTCCCGAACTATCTGAATGGATTGGTAGCACCCCAGCTAGTGTCGATCCTAAGGATGAAGAAGATCTCACTCCTATTGGTGGTGTGGATGAGGAAGAAGGAAAGAGTCTCGAAGAGGAAATGACGGTTCTTAGTGAAGCTAAACGTCAAGATCTCGTCGTTAGATTCAAGAAAACTGCGGATGGTGTATACGTTGAAGCTAAACGCAGTGCTATTGGTGGAGTGGCTCAAGTTCCGTTGTATTTCTATGGTCTTTTGTTGGCTTTGGGTTGGAATGAAATTGTTGCTGGTATGTTCTATTTCCCCCTTTCCTTTAAAATTTGAATCGAATCATGAACTGACAATTATCTCTAGTCCTCCGTAACCCAATTTACTTCATCTTCCTCATTCTCTGTGGTATCGCCGGATATGTCACTTACACGCTTAATCTCTGGGGTCCAATTATCCGCATGATGAACGCGGCTAGTACTCAAGGAGTCGAAATTGGAAAGGAGAAATTGAGAGAATTTTTGAAGGATAATGAGATGGGGAGACAGGCTTTGGGCATGCAGGGAAGAGATCACGGGGATAGTGATGGGATCAGTTTGAATACTTTGGATAGCAGGGGAAAGAGGGCTAGTAGGGAGGAGGAGGAGGAAGAGGAGATTTAAAGAGATGAACTGTGGTGGGATTGTGGGAGGTGAGGGGGGGGGGGGGGGGGGGGGAGGGTGGTGTATATTCGATGTAGTGTAGTCAGTGTGGGGTGGAGATGTGGTGGTATAGAAATTCATAAAAGTTCGGTGTGGTAACGTTGTTGTTTAATAGCGAGTGGGTGCTTGGGTGATTGGATTGTGTGGATGGTGGTTTTCTCAAAAATTATTAAATAAAGGTTGGGTCTTTTTCTTGGAAGTAGTCGTGTTGATGCAGGGGATGCAGTGGATGGATGGGGTGGCACCAATAATGACAATTATATTGGATGATACCTTTTCAATATTTTCGCACTCTTACGTCCTTTCTCTTAACAAACAGTCAGCCAGTCAGTAAGTAGTAAGTATAACTAACATACTTTTAAACACCTACTAGGTACCTACCTACCTACCTACATTTACATAATTGTGAACCCCCCCCCCCCCCTCCTAAAAAAGGTAGGGAAAATTAACTACTTTTTTGAGGGAGTGAGGGGTGAGGAACGGATTGGAAGGAATTGGAAGGATGTATGTATGTATGTATATATGTATGTATCATTATTATCTCGTATACCTACCTACTCATAGGTAGGTAGGTAGGTATGTATAGGTAGGTAGGTACCTAGTAAGGTATCCAGGTATCCAGGTATCCAGGTATCTCATAAACGCAACAAACAAACAAACAAACGCCCACCCTCTCGTTCCAGAGTGCTATGCATTTTTCCCCTTCTCCCCTTTATTTGCTTCTTTTCTTTCTTTTCATCAACTTTTCCGCCGCTTTTTGAAAGAATAAAAAATAAAAAATAAAAAATACCAAAAGAAAATCTACAAAAACCATCTAAACTCCTCCACGCTCGGCCCATCCCTCAACAACTCAGTCGGCGTCTCGCCAATATCTAATTTGCGTCCGAGTTTGGCGTCGCGGCGTCGGTTGTCAAAAATCATGTAGAGCGCGAGGGAAGTGCTGAGGATGACGCCCATGCCGCCAAAGGCGGCGGTGGTGGCGAGGGCGGGGATGTATCTGGGGTGGGGGTTAGGATGAGGGAGTTTTTTGTGTGAAGGGGGAGGGGAAGACTTACTTGGGAGCATCTTTATTCAGGAAAATGTTTGAGGAGACTAATCCCATTAGATTACTGAGCGGGACACCGACGCTGCTCATGACGACGCGACGGCCTTCGTGTGGGATGTTGTTGTTGTACCAGGTGCTGAGGAGGACGCTTGGGGCGGCGGTTCCCCAGCACATCATGAAGGTGGCGAAATAGGCGACGTGGAGTTGGGAGGTGACGTCGATGGAGACGTAGATGAGGAAGCCGATGAAGGTGAAGAGGAAACCGAGCGCGATGAAGGGACCACGTCTGCGGGTGTAGTCTGACGAGAAGGCGAGGATGAGGAGCATGACTGCGCCGGAGACGTTGGGGGCGACGGTGTAGAGGTTGGTTTTGATGGTGGAGTAGCCGAGACGGGCGACGATTTGGGGGAGGAAGAGGTTGACGGATTGGAGGGGGACGCCGAGACAGATTTCGATGGCGAGGAAGGCGTAGGTGGAGGGTTGTTTGAAGATGGCGAGGGAGTCGTGGAGGTGGAATTCTTCGTTGACGATGGAGGAGGAGTCGACTTGGATGCGGTGGTAGGCGAGGGTGCGTTCGGATTCGGTGAGGAATTTGGCGGTCGAGGCCGAGGCGGGGAGGTAGAAGAAGGCGAAGAAGGCGAAGAGGAGGGTGGCGCTGCCTTCGATGAGGAAGAGGTATCGCCAGGGGTAGAGAGGGGTGTTGGTTATTTGGAAACATCCGACGGCGAGGAGACCGGAGAATGCAGAGGCGATGTTACTGGCTGCGTAGAAGATGGCGAGGCGACGAGCGAGTTCTCCACGACGGTAGAAGGTGGTGAGGTAGTAGATTACGAGGGGGAAGAAGGCGGATTCGGACATGCCGAGGAACCATCTGAGGGTCATCATACCGCCAAAGTTTTGAGCTGCGACTGTGGAAAGAGATTAGTTTGGTGTTGTTGGAGGGTTGAAAAATATGATCTACCTCCGAGAATGGTGAATGATCCGAAGAACATCATGAGGATGGGTAGGACTGTTGCAGGTCCATACTTCTTTCCAAGCATAGCCTATGGGATGTTAGAATTTTGTTGATGGATGAACGACGATAGAGCTCATTGGAAGCCACTTTAACTCTCTATAGACTGTTCAGATCCCACTTGGACAGATGAACTTATATCGGAAGCATTCAATCAACTCAGATATTGACACTAGGCTAACAGCCGAACCCCCCAAGTAGTTAGATGTCAAAAAGTAAACCCCAGAAAAACTCACAATAGGAAGTGCGCATAACACATAAGGTATATAAAATACACTCAAGATAATATTATACTGATTACTCTTGAAGCCCAAATCCTTTTCCATGCCATCCGTTTTTGCATTTCCCAAATTTCCCTTGTCAAGCGAGTTGAACAGGTACATGCAAGCTAGCACGGGCAGCAAACGAAAATCGAACTTCCGACACAGAGCCCTCTCTGCTTGGTGATCGAAGACATGTGCGGATTCGGAAGCGAGACCGAGTTTGGATTCGGGGTCGTCGATCTTTTGGGTGGTGCCGGGGGTTACTTTCACGTCGCCGTTTTCGGATAGCGAACTTCGGGAGCGGGATTTGTGGAGGGACATTGTGAATTTGGAGAGGAGGTGGGTTCAGAGTGGGTGGTCGGAGGGGATTGAGAAGAGAGAATGGATTAGATATCCCGTGCCAATGGTATCTAGACAGTACGTATTGGTGATGGCCACTACTTGGAGATAGCAATATAAGAAGAGCTTCTCCGTGCCAAAGATCTGTAGAGATAGAGAGACTGGATAATGGCACGCACGCGAAAATCGAGAGATGTAAATGAAGAAACAGAACACACTTGGGCAGAAGAACTCAACACCCTACCTAGTTACCTACCTACATATTATAAATATACATCTCATACGATAATAGCAAAGGCAAACGTCTAATTCCTTATCCCTTATCAAGAAAACTATTTCCGATAATATTACTGTTCGCCATCTCAGCAGCACAAACACCAGAAACTCCTCTCCCGTCTGTCTCCATAAACTTTTTTCGAACGATTCTTATCGCAAGGCAAATGGCCCCCCCCCCATTCCCTTGAAAAGCACGACGAGAACCAATCAGATAACTCCGACCATAAGGAAGATTGCGGAGGCACGAACGGAGAAATTGTTTATCTAACATTTAGCGTGTCTGAGATGCATTTTCGCGAAGTCACCCCGCGTATTTTGATATGAGGGTGGGAGATAAGAGGATGAAGAAATGAAGCTATCAGGTGAAAAATTGTGTAAGGGATTATCTTTTGATAAGGTTGGTAAGGTAAGGTTATCTGATGGAATGTTATGTCATGTGATCAATGTACTTACATCAAAGAATCATGAAATGTATACCAGGTACTAGGTACTCTTTATGGTAGATAGATATTGTTTAATCTTTTGATACTCGAGTACTGTAAACATTGAATTTGTTTTCAGTACTATAGTAACATAGAAGCACAATGGAATGGTAAGCATTCGAGGAGGCGAGGTGTGTGTGTAAGTATATACAATCAATCTTCTTCATAGCTGCTTCGTACGTGACTATATTAATCGATCTATAAAACTCCAAGATGATAATCCAATAGAAAACTCGATACTACATCCTACATCACCTAATAAGTCTTGGAGAAGATACTCGGTCCTCCTATTCTTCATGGGGGCAAGCCGCCAAACCCCCATAGCTCGCTGCGCTCGAACTCATTACTTTACTTGTACACCATGTCCCACACCGTGCACCCAGCCAGCACACACCAAATCTGAAGAACTCACGTTTTGCCCATCATATCCAATGCAACGAACCCCCATATTTTTCAATATTCGATCGGAGAAAGAAAGAAAACGTCCGATAGGCGGGATGTGAGACATGCTGGTGGTACACGTGATGTGATTGTGCTAGGTACCTAGGTAGGTGTGTGCGAATGACGTCAATAGACTTCATCTAGTATGCGGTTGACCGTCACTTCGCCGTTGAGACCTAGGGCTGGGAGAGTGTGGAGTGAGCAGAGAGGAGAAGGAGAGAAGGAGAGAAGAAGAGACGAGAAGAGAAGAAGGGACGAGAAGTGGAGAGAAAATTCGATGTTTATTTAGTAAGCAATACTATCTATGTATGCATATCTGCAGTACTGGATGTTACCTACCATACAGACTACAGTCTGTACATTACTGCCTGTAATTATTATATTAATCAAATCCAGAGCGAAGCGAAGAAGCCTCCACGGCAGTGGCCCAGCGGAGCGTCATTCAATTTAGGAACTGGGTATTTCACGGAAAATAATGTATGATTCTGTCTCTTGATCGAAATCCTTTGATATATTAATAATTCTGGGGATTCCCCATTTCCAATTTTGTGATTGATTACAAGATGGGATGGAATGTAGAAAAGAGGCTAATCTCCATTGTGTTACATGGAAATTAGAATAGATGATGTTACAAGACATTTTGTAATTATGCTGTACTCGAGTATTTCTTCACTGTTGATGGTCTAGACTTTTGGATCATCGGTTTCTTGTGAGATTTGTGAGATGGTATCTATTGGAATTGGAATGATTATTGAACAGGTGATGGATGGATCTGATGATTGAGGAATTCTTGATGAGGATTTTCGTGGAATATGGATGGAGAAACTGCTGATCAGTAACAATAAGTGAGTACGTAGTGGGAATATCATGAGAGGAATAAGCTGGCTGTGGAGATCATATGATTGAGGGAAGGAAGAGGGAGAGAGAAAGAGAGATACTAGATAGAGAGGCGAGGGGGCGTAAGAGGGAAATCGGAGTTAAGGCTTGTTTTCTGTCTTATTACTTGATACTTAAATGGGTATTTATTTATCAATGTAATCGACTTTTGCCTGCGTATCAATCAACTCGTCTGATCTGATATTCAGTGTCCCGTATTCTGTATTGAATAGTCTTTACTCTTCGGTCTCCTGTTCGGTCCGCTGTTCGGTCTATAAAGGGGGTTTGTTATTAACACACGATGACCAAGTAAAGTAAAACAAATGACGTACTGGAAGATAACAAAGACAAGAAAGCCTTTGTAATCAGCAGGATGTCGGGATTGGTGAATAGTTTATTCTTCGAATATGTTGGGGATGAAGACTTTGAAAGTATTGGATTTGAGGAATATTATTGTCTAATGTGATTTTGGGATGATGGGATATATCCATATACAGTGTACTATATGTACTCGAATAGAGAGAGAGAGGGCTGTATATACAGGATACAGAAATAGTGAGGATTGGATTTACTGATGTACGAGGTAGGTAGTGATGTGCAGCCGGTGACCCTGGACGGGTTGAATGGCCACATCTAGATGGCATCATAGATGGGTACTCTGTACATACCTCGAGACATGCTCCGGATAGTGAAAAGCGATGAGTGTCAAGTTCTCCACTGCTACTTCTACTCTGTACCGAGATACCGGTATACCTACATTGTATCGACGAGTAGGTAGGCAGTAGTTCTTCCAAGACGAAATATCGATATTGTACTCGTACAAACCAATCTATAGACTGTACTGGGCCGAGGAAAAGAAAAGATTGGAAATCCGAAACCATCAACCCTTCTAGAACAATTGTTATTTATTTAACTTTTTGACCAATGTCTAGCTAGCAGGTAGATACTAGGTAGGTAGGCGGTTTGCATTCACTCCATCGTCATCTTTCCCAAATCAAGTACGTACTACCCGTAGTCTATAGCCCCCCTTTTCTTCTATTCTTCATTCTCATCTCTTTTCTCTTTGGCTATAAACGAAGATAGAATCGAGGGAGATAGATACCCAGGGACGTAGCGATTGTGCGTGTGTATATATGTTGTATATACCTATATATATATTAAATGATCAAATAATGGTTTATACCTAGGTTTCCAATTCAATCTCTCTTCCCTCTGGTTTTCTGGATTCTCTACGGAGTAATCTCCCCCATTCAACGGAATCTAAGCCGTCCGACCCTTGATTTGTCTTGAATGATCTGCACTCAATAACATCGTCATCAGAAAAGCATAAGAAAAATCAGATTAACCGGAACGAAACTAACCCATCGAGCCAACCAGTTGATATCATCGTTCTGACCCATGCAGGTCCAATATCTGACCCTCCTCTATTCCGAATCGGTAGCATAAACTGGCTGATCTCCCTCTCGCAACCTTTCTCATGCTTCCCTTCACTCAAATAAATTAACAATTAACCACAAATTCGAGTCTTCCAAGCACTCCAAAGCATTCAACGAAAGCACTTACGCAGTCATATGAGAGGAGAAGAGAAGGGAAGAATTAGATATCGAAACACACCTACAGTCCGTAGGTAACCAACTACCTCCCTACCTACCTACCTATTCACGACCAGCGAGAATCTATTATATTATACCATCACATCATCCCATACCATCTCATACCGTATCATCCACCTCATCCACCGGTCCACTCGCTCGGCCACTCACGACAACTCACGACAACCACTACAACTCCAACAACTACATCGTACATATTACCTACATACATATATACACACATGCATACATACATACATACACACATACATACACACATACATACATACATACACACTTACACACATACACTACATATAACTTAAAACTCAACTTTCAAATTCACCCACCACTATCCAAGTGACAGCACCCCTCTAGTCAGAAAAAAGAAAAAGAAAAAAAGAAAAACCCTGAATTGGATACCATCAGCCTTCTTTCTTTCTTTCTTTCTTTCTTTCTTACTTACTTTCTTTCTCTCCTTCCCTCTTATTTGCCTTTGCCTTAATTCTCTACCTATTACGGATCATTCACCCAAAAAAGTCAATGATCCCCGTCTCAAGTCCGTCATCGAATCCTATAGCCCTATCTCTTCCACTTCTTTCGCCCATTTCGAAATTCTAACTTACACACGTCCCAAAGGAGAAGGATATTGTTTCGGGAAAGGATATACGAACAAACAAGCGATCAAGCAACCAAGCAAGCATTGAGAGAGTAATCAAGAAACCTTCTTTCGACTTTATTATTAGATTTGCTGTCATCCGTTGTCATCTGCGCAAAGTCAACCACGATCCACCTTCAAACCGTCGGTCAATTTACGAGTACCACGATCACCCTGCCGCACCAAATTCGATAATTACAAACCTCATTTCAAGAACCGCATTTCCACTCTACGTCGCAGTAAATAGAAACGATGGCAATTACGTCCGAATAATATACGCTTGGTTATTTGGTACACAGAGTCAGTCGCCCACGGAAGGAAGGAATATTATTGTAACAAAAAGGATAAAGCTTTTGCGCCTCAAATTCAAATGGTTGTCAAAGCCGCAACGAGACCTTCACCCAGGTCTTCTCAGTCACATCCACATCCACATTCACATTCACATTCGCATTCGCATTCGCAATCACACAGAACCGCCACAAACACATCTACCACGAGCCCAACAATGAGTCCAGCAACAGGGAGAATACCTGCATCCGTAGGGCAAACTCTGCCGCCTACTTCCGCCTTACGATCCCCAGGTATTCAAGTCGAACAAGTTCGGAGTGCCAGTCCAAATTACTTCGGTCTCATTGTTGAACCGTCAAGTAATCCTAGAGAAACCAACGCCCTACCCAAAGCAAATTGGAGTCCTACCACGTCTTCCATAGTGAGTCCAATATCCGACTTATACCCATGATGAAGTCATTTCTAATTTTGGATCTCTTTAGTTTCTCATTTGGTGGTGCCACACCAGAACATATACCTATAAACTCAAATCCTGAATTTGAGGCTTTCAAGAAGCAATCTGAATCTAACAACAGATTCAATCTGAGTCATGGGGGCCTGGCAAATTTCTCAATGTCTCCGGGTCCTTCCTTACTACGTCCCAAGAACGACAAAAAGCCCTCCAAAGTCGATGCACACGATGGACCTCCGTCACCTAGATCCATTCCAAGAAATAGGGATGCACCATCCGATGTTGATAGTGGAGCGGATTCAGCATATGTATCTTCGTCTGAACGAGTCCCTACTTCCTCCACAAACCCTCCTTCATTCTTCGAATTCCCACGCCAAATGTCACCTGCCAGTTTTTCAACTTCAATGTCACCCGTGCAAAGGAACAACCTCTCACATCTAGACGAAAGACACCCTAGACTTTCTTTACCTCAAAATAAAGCAGATCCTTCATCGCCACGAGTACCACAACCGCGTCAACATCAGCGAGCGGACACACTCCCGTCGATGTTAGAAGATGGGCCAGCCATGATTACGCCAGCACAGTTGAAGGAAATGATGGATCGTTGTCCCTCGATAGAATTATTGCTACTCGACTGCCGAACTTTTAGCATCTTCTCACAATCAAGAATTGGAAATGCCCTCAATTTATGCATACCTACAACCTTGTTAAAACGGCCTTCATTCAATCTTCAGAAGCTTCAAGATACTTTTACAAACGAGGAAGATAAAACCAGATTTTCAAAATGGAGGCAAGCTAAATATATCGTTGCTTATGACAATAGATCTTCGGATAAAAAAGATGCAGCACTCGCTATTAATACCCTGAAAAAGTTCACCAATGAAGGCTGGAATGGAGCAAGATATATATTGAAAGGTGGATTTGATACCTTTGCTCAAAATTTTCCAAGGTCAGTTGACCGGGGTTCAACACAATCCTCGCAGCCATCTCGAATCAATCTTACGCTTGGAACGACATTGCCTGGAGTTGCACCAGTAGCTGGTGGATGTGCTATGCCAGCCACAAAGAATGCAGCAAACCCATTTTTTGGCAACATTCGACAAAATCAAGATCTCATGGATGGTGTTGGTCAGAGAGATATTGCAGTCCCGGAGGATCTGGCGAGAGACCCATCTGCTATGAGTGTTGTTCCGAGGTGGTTATCAAAGGCTGCAAAGAAAGAAGATCATGGCAAGATCGTTTCAGACAGATTTCTTCATATTGAGCAAGCAGAGTTGGCAAGGATGACGAAAGCATTGACACAAGGCGTTCGATACGGAAATGGGCCAGAAGCCTCTAATAATTCTAATGATGTTCAGATAGCTGGTGTTGAGAAGGGCAGCAAAAACAGATACAACAATATTTGGCCATTCGAGCATGCCAGAGTGAAACTACAAGGTCGTACAGAAGGCACGTGTGATTATGTTAACGCAAGTCATATCAAAGCATCAAGGAGTAATAAACGTTATATTGCTTCTCAAGGGCCCTTGCCTGCAACCTTTGAAGTCAGTACTTTCGCTACCCTTATTTCCCTTTTTTGGTACTAACACCTTGTAGGATTTCTGGAGTGTTATTTGGGACCAAGATGTACGAGTCATTGTCATGTTGACTGCGGAAGCAGAGGGAGGACAACTGAAATGCCACTCATATTGGTCTAGTAACGAATATGGTCACCTCAAGCTTAAATTGGTATCCGAAAAGAAAGTTCACCTTGATGCCACTAAGCATCGAAATTCAACCGACAGGCGAGATTCTGGACGAAAGCGCGCAAGTACTACTCAAGTCACACCCCCATCTCCCACAACGGATGATGCTCATGTCGTCGTCCGTAAATTTACACTTTCCCATGCCGCCCATCCTTTTACACCAATGCGAGAAATTACACAAGTACATTATTCTTCCTGGCCAGATTTTGCTTCTCCGGCAAAACCCAGTCATTTACTCGCTCTTATTCACCTCGCCAATTCTATGCAACGCGCCTCCGCTTCCGTAACCGAAACCCCCCGGTCAGGTGAACCAGAAGGAGAAAATACAAGACCAATGCTTGTACATTGTAGTGCGGGCTGTGGTCGCACGGGAACCTTTTGCACAATTGATTCTGTGATTGATATGTTGAAACGTCAACGCAAAGAACAAAAACATGGTACTACGCCTATGGAATTCGACGATTCTAGTACTGGGGATTATATGGGGCGGGGAAGACCGGGGAAGAAAGCGGATATGGATTGGGTTTTTGATCAAGATACCGACTTGGGGAGAAAACGGTCGAGGATTTTTTAGAGGACAGAGATTAAGCATGTACAAAATCTACTGCAGTATGTTACTTTGTACGAAACGGTTTGGAATGGGTGGCGCAGCAGTGGTGGGGAATGGAAATGGAAATGGAAAGGGGGGCGAGGGTTCAAGGGGTTATTAGAGATAGAAGTGGTAGTTTGAGTGAGTATCAATATTAAGTAATAAGAAAGTTATGAGAGACTTGATTAATAGAAAGTCGAATAGTGTAGAAACGTTATTCTGCTCATGCTTCTTTTGACTATCTTTTTTCTTTTTTTTTTTTTTTTTCGAGATTCGGGATTCTGGATTTGGGGTTCTGGATTTGGGGTTCTGGATTTGGGATTTGGGATTTGGCCACGAATCGATGATTATTTGAGAAAATTATGTATATGTATATGTATATGTATATGTATATGTATATATGTATATGTCTATACCTACCTACCTACCTACCTAACTACGTACTTCCTAGGTAGGTAGGTAGGGATCACACGAATATGATGGATGGACGACAACAAACAAACAAACAAACAAACAAACAAACAAACAGATGAGCAAGCGAGCAAGCGAGCGAGCGAGTTAGCTTGGTGATTTATTTGAGCATGGTATGGTATTGTATGGTATGGTATGGTATGGTATGGTATTTGAGGTTTTGTGTATTGTTTGGTTTTATATTTATGTATATATACGTGTATATGTATATGTATATTTATATTTGTTTTTGTTTTTTGTATTGGATGAGATGAGGAAGACTGGATGGATGGATGGATAAATGATACTCGTACCGTTGAGAAATTTGATAGTTCATGCATGTACATGGACAGGGACTGGACTTGAGATATATACATACACGCATACATACACGCATATATACGTTTGTTTCCTATCCCTTTATCCTGTTTTGGTATCATCTTTCGGTATCGGCATCGATTTCGATTTACACATCTTTATCTCATCACACTTCTCTATCCCATACCATACCATTCCTTCCTCACTCCCTCTCGTACTTCTTCCAACGTATTTTTCTCTCTCTCCATAATTGTACATCATCCATCCATCCATGCATTCAGGTATTCATTCTCCCCTCCCCTCCCTCTTCCTTCCCTCTCTCCCTAATATCGCTGAAGCCACCCACCAACCCACCTACTTAACCCCAATAAATCCAACTCCATTCCTCGCTCTATCCGCCGCCTTACTCATAGCCTGTTCCTCAACATCCGTCCACTTAACGCTCAGCTGATCCCACTTCACCGTCTTGTACTCGTGTTGAAATTGTTGTTTCATTTTTTGATATCGAACCATTTCCTTGGGATCGCCGGAACCGCTGTAGATAATGAAGGCTGTGCATGGAGGGAGGGCTTGGTAGATTTTATGGATACGTTGGGTCAGGGTGAGGGTTGCGGGTGCGAAAGGATCAGTGGCGGTACCTTCCGAGGGAGTTTCTGCAGGGGTTTTAGATTCGGTAGTGGTGGATTCGGCGGCAGTTGCTGGGTTAATAGAAGTTGACTCTTCCATGGTAGTATCTTTATCGTTGGCTTCGGTGGTTGCAGCACCGTTACCATCTACCGCTGAGCTTTTAGATTCTGGTGCACGAGGAAGTCGTTGGTTATTCCATTCCTTCAAATCCTCCAGCTCTCTGAATCTTCCCCATACAAAATCTACTCCACCTCCTGGAATCGTCTTTCCGTCAGGATCCCCATTTACAGCTCGAATGACACCTTCCATGATTTGTTCATCACTCGAACACCCAATCGAGAAAGTTGCAGCACCGCCAGGTCCTCTCTTTGGATCACCCCAATCAACAGCTGCCGACGATTTTCCATCTACAGAAGCCGGTATAGCTGTTCCTCCTTGGCTTTTATATTTTACCCCGGTTCGAGCTAATCGCTTGAAGATATTCTCACCTTGTGAATCATTTGCTCCCCAATCAGATCCCTTTTCACACTTGAGCTTTACGAGATCAAGACATGTTCTCGCATCCTCAGTTGAATCATGACCAGTTGCTCCATGTCCCTTTTGTATCTCTTTACCAAGATATTTCTGGGCAAGCCATTTAAGAGAGGATTTGAGTGGTCGACCACGAGGATGAGGATATATGACTGCGGTATCGATGATATATGGATGTGTAAGTTTGAGAGCTTTAAGATCAGAATCGAGGGAATGGCCGATCAAAATTGTTCGTGGATGAAATAATTTGACTAATCTTTTTTGTATGTCTTGTAATGCTGTTGTAACTGGAGCGAGCAGTTCTTTGGTGATACCAGAGTATCTTCATATTGTTAGTGATATGATCATACATCGGAACGAAGACTTACTGGGTGAGATAATCGATGATTGGCTTCTCAGGTTTTACAAGCTCATCAAGAACAACTGACCCATCCCAACCAACAATACTTATGCGGGTAAGTGAGAACTCATTCTTGCCAGTCATACACATTTCACAATCCATAGCAAAGATCTCCCTGCCGACTGTTAGACTTCTTGCTCAAAGTCATTATCTGGAACTGATCCTTCATCAAAATTATTAACTTTTGTGTCTACCCATCCATGAGCCTCATCAAGCTCCCAAGTCTTGCGCTGTTCTGCCAAGTTGTTTCTATCGACTAAATCGTCATAGGTTGCGGGATGAAGGGTATAACCATTTTCTTGAAGATCTTCGGGCGATGTAAGGAATTGTGTAATTGGGGTGCGAGTGTTTTGCCAACCATTAGGCTCTCTAGCTTTCTTTGGACCTTTCCCGTGATTATTCTTATTTTCTTGGCTTTTAGTTACAGGTGCTGTTAGCATAGCATGTAAAGGAGAATGCATCTTTGCATATTTCTTATCTCCCGGTGTTTTGACTGGCCATATGTATTCAAACATATCCGCAAATAGCTTCAAATTTGCAGGCAAAGTTTCAGACTTCAACTTGCGCGGGAGATATTCATCTGGAGAATGTCGATGTGAATCAGATACAGGCTTGGTACCAAACATAGATTCTTCAAGTCCAGGGACCATAAGTACGACAACTTTTCGGAATTGTGGTCGATGACGAATAGAAACAAATTGAGGGGCCATCCCATCTGCAAGAAGATAAAGAACGAGGCTTTGTAAATCTCCAATCTTAATTGGACCTGAAAGCCTAGACTCCTTTGCTGCGAAAGTAATAGCAGGATAATTTCCATTTCCAGCCTTGGGTATTTTTTTGGCTTTCTTTTTGGATGTCTTTCTACCGTTTGCCATTCTTCAGATGAAGGTTTCTCACCAAGCTCTTCTTTAGCTGGATTCTTTGCAGGTATCAAATTGAATTCTGGCAAATCTGGTTGACGAAGTTCTGATGATACTGTTTCCATACCAGTTGAATTGGATTCTGCTTCTTTCTCATCATCATCTTCTTCATGCTTGCGCTTTCTAGGGTTAATATCACCAGCGGATTGCTGCGATACCAAAGGAATATCTGCGACAGTCATTTTGGAGGATTGTCGTAGTTAAATTTATTGAAATATATTGTGTGTCGCATGCGCAAGATTTTAGTAAATGTCAATGATAACTTTGTGGATTCTAATTAGGCGGTGAATGGCAGAAACGGACCCTTTACCTAATTTGGACTAGTGAGAACGACGAATGAACAGCTGCACCTGTTCCAAAAGATCTACTCTGATTACATACACACATACATAGTACTTGGGGAGAAGCAGACATTCAGAGATTCCTACTATGTAGGTGAAGAGATCATCGAATATACCTCTTTATTAGATTGATCATTATCATTATTTCTCACCCTCTTTAATATGATTGTGTGACAAGAATCAATCGAGCAGTACAAGTACAATTACATTTTAATAACCTTACAGCAAAACACGAAAATTCGCGATCTCACGCGTTTCAACACTAACCAGTACGGCTGATTGATACCAAATTTCTATTTTATATTCAATCATTCAACGACTGTAAACTCCAGATTTATTCCAACTCTAGCTTTTTGCAAGTGCATTATTTTGTATGAAAAGATTAATACTATCTCTCATTTTTCGAACCTCGAGCCTTCTATTCTATTCTTGCATCAAATCTGGGCTCGGATCAGTACACTGCGCCCAAGATGTCATCAGACGCAGAAGTCATTATATGCTATTGTCTTAAGTGTGGGCTTAAGGTCGGCAGCTTTGATAATTCATGGGAAGGTCTCGGGAAGACTTACTATATACCCAAAGTCATAAGAGATGCCACAGGATTAAAGGGAGTTGGTTCTGTCAAGTTAGCAACTGGTCCAGCACAGGTTGGAACTGTCATAGAAAATAGGTATGTGATCTAAAACTCTCAAGTTCAATATAACCATACTCATTCGTCTTAGTTCTCTCCAAGATTTGGCTTGCGCAAATTGCCGTGAAGTATTTGGCCTGCTATGCGATAATGCACCAGAAGGTCATCTACTAAAAAAGTATGAGAGGCTTACATTTATAAGATAATGTCCATACTAATAGCAATAGGGATCAATTACTCATATGTGCCAAGAAGATATCAATGAAATTGCAGCAAACAGGGGAAAAAGCAATGTTATTTGTCACAAAAACACATGACTTGAAGAAATCCTCAAATAAGTCAAGCTCACTGTCCAGGCGACCATCGTCAATCCTGCCCGGGGCTCCGGGCCCCAGCGAAATATCCCGCCAAAGTGTAGAAAAACCTTTCACTCCAGCAGCATCTTCACCGTCGATACTGGGCGAGGCAAAAATCATGACAGCGATTTGTGAGCAACGAAAAGATATTGATCGCATTGATGCTGCTGTGGGTCGCCTTGAGAATGACATGCAGGGCGTTAAGATCTTCATGGAAAATATGCGCCGTGAAATGACCGCGACTCAAAACGCTCGTCTTGTAGCTACCAGTGCCGTCGAAACTCTTCAGCATGATCTCATCCGCGTGACCGAGAAAGCTGATGGGGTGAATGATCTTCGTGCAGAGCTTAATTCTCTGAACACTTGGGTCGAGCAGATGAAGAAAACCAATAGAAGGAATAATCTTCGTCCGGAGTTTGATTCTCTGCGCACTCGAGTCGAGGAAATGGAGAAAGCTAGTAGAGGAAATGATTTTCGTTCAGAATTTGATTCGCTACACACTCGAGTCGAGGAAATGGAGGGAGCTAGTGTAGTGAACGATCTTCGTGCAGAACTTGATTCTCTACGCACCCGGGTTAAGGAGATGGAGAGAGCCTCTCGCAAGGCTCCAACCTCAGACGCTCGAGCAATAACCACTCCTGCACCTTCTGACGAATTACAGGAAGGACAACTTCCGCCCAAACTAATATCTAACGAAAGATGCAGTCCGCTTAACAATGCAAGAGATCTTTCAATGCTTGAAGGCAGCAGGTCTTTGCACCGGAAGCGCCTGTACAGTGAAGCCGAATATGATCAAATGGAGATCCAGACTTCACAGCTCGCAGAACTTGGAAAATACAAACGCAGAAAAGAAACGGAAGCTCAACAAGATGAAGACACAAGATCTCTCTCAATACCTCCTACTCGTTCACCAAGTAGAGAACCCGCCACTCCTTCCATACCTCGTATCGAATCGCCTATTCTTGGTCGTTACGATACGAATGGTGACGTCGGCCGTACTAAACAAGACGATAACATTCAGCACATCGAGCAAGATACCGAAAGACAAATTTCGGAGTCACCCTCTCAACAAATCGAAACTGAAATGAACACTCCCAATGGACATAACAATCATGACGTACACCAACAAGTGCTACACATCGCAACAGCTACTGCAATGAACACTCCCGACGAAAGTGATAATATTGACGAACATCAAAATTTGCAGATTATGTCAAAAGCCACGGAATTGAGTAGTTCTAATAACCCTAAAAATGACGAGGGGCGTCAACATCTACGGAACAACTCAAAGGCTACTCAAACAGATAATCCTGATGAAAACAACAATAATAAAGAACATCAAATTCTGCAGCACGTCTCACAAGCTACCTCAAATACACTCCCGGATCCATCTCAAGCGATTTCTCCAGCAAACTCAAATGGGAATCCGTCAACGTCTCACCTAGATCAACCCCAACAACATCACCGAAGTCGAAAACAATTGGAAATCCCCAATTCTTCTCAATCAGAATCATCACAGAACACCCAAGAAAAACAGCTTCCATCTAATTTCCGTCGAGGTCCTGGCCGTCCTAGAGCCGCTCCAAAAGAACAGAATCGTTTCACTCCACATAAACAAGATCATCCTGCTGCCAATACAACCCACTCTACCCGAGGTCTTAGCCATCCTGAGGACGCTCCAAATAAAGAAAAGCAAAGTACACCTCAATCCCACCCACGTCGTGGCCGTCCTAAGGGAGCCCCAAATAAATCTTTCTTTACTTCCAGCACTTTCTCAAATGGGCCCAGTAGTGAAGAACTATCTACACCAGGAAGAGCATTGCGTGGCCGCATACTTCCCGTTCCAAATTCGAATCCTTTTGTCATGGAATTTGCAAATAAACAAAGCAATCTAGTGATTGATTTGACCTCTGGCAACGGACGTGAGGGCTCTGAGCCTCCTGGAGACATTAATGAGAGCCTGATGCAAACTACTCGGCCGCAAAAGACCCACGTCTCGGTGCCCCTAAATGGTGAAAAAGAGACCCCATCTCATCCTGCCAAAAGACAACGAAGAAATACCCGCAGTTCTCATCAAAGACCTTCCGTTGATTTGGACAAAGCTCTCGCTTCCAGACCTGAATCTGGGAATACTACAAGCGATGAGGCGGTAGAAAGTGATTCTATGGATACCGGAAACGAGAGACGGACGAGATCGATCTCGAGACGTTCAAGGGAATTCAAAGGGTCTCCGGTGGGTGATGATGAAAACTACACGCCGCCTCGTTCAGTGAAGTATTATGAGAATCTTAAGAGGAAGAGAGCGCAAAGTGAGCAGAGTAAAGAAGATCGAGAAGGAGGAAGGGGTAATGAGAACGGAGATGCACAGGATAATGAAGAGGAGAGGCAAGGAGAAAGAGGAAGAGAAAGGGAACGTCCAAAAGAACAAGAAAGACGAGAACGAAGGAAAAGTACACGAAGGAGAGAGATAGAACGGAGAGAGGAATTGGTCAAGCAAGCGTTGGAGAGGGAATAATTGACGATGATGAGATCGTCCAGATTTGACAAAATCTGGGAGATCAAGAGGAGCTGGAGTGAGTATAACACCTATTGGTAGAATAGACGTTATCTCTTCCTAGGTACCTAAACGATTTTGCAATCATTAATCAAGTTTTGTAATATCACCTATTTAATCCGCATCTATCCTTGTCTCTCTCTCTCTATCTCTACAAACCCTCCCCTTCCTTTTCATATCAAGCTGCATTCTTACCACATTCTAAATGTCTCATCATATTTCATCATATCGATAGTTCATTAATCCCTTCAAATATTATCTATTCATTCATTCGCTGCCTAAATACCCATTTCCGATCCTAAATTTAACCGACTCAATTCGATTCAACGCTATTTTGCTATTTTGTTGACATCCACAATTATATATCATATCATATCATCAGTTTCATTTTCAAATTCCAATCAACTACATCCCATGTATTTACTCAACGAGAACCGACTCCTGCTAATTCATCCATCATGTACATCCCAAGTGTCACTCCTCCACAAACATCACAATTAAAAATCAAACTCCCCTCTAAAACTCTCCACATCCATCCCCGCCACAACGCGTTCCGATAAATCTCTTCTCCCCATCTGACTAAAAACTCTTCGCAACGTATCATACAAATTAGTGCTTTGATTTTGCGAGATCATCCTCTCGAGATCCGCTTCACTAACACTTCCACCACCCAGTACATCTCTTGCCTTTTCTCTACCTTCATTCTCTACAATCTTATGCATAGCTAATGCACCTAGAAGATGAGAAGCAGCTTCGTCAAAACACCCGATATTGATGCAAGAAACACCAAGGTTGTAGCGGGCTCGTACGAAATTGATGCGAAGCGTGAGTGCTTTTTCGTAGGCGGCGATAGCTTCTTCGCTGCGGCCTGAGTTCGCCAGGGTGGCACCAAGACGATTCCATAAGAGATGAACTTGGTCTCTTTGATTCGAGGTTCCAGATTCGGTGGAGGCTAGAGCAGCGGTGAAACAATCGACTGCTTTATCGTACTCTTCAGCACCGTAGAAAAGTACTCCGAGACCTACTTGCACATCTGGATCCATGTGTTCGCCATCTGGTGAAAGCTGAGCGGCGCGAATGAATAAATCAGTAACCTTTTCATGAAGTTGATGTCGGTCAGTGAAGCCGATGTCATTCTCAGAAGACAGGGCGCCTGGTTCAATGATAGATGGATATTTGATGGAGAGCCAACGCTCAAGTGTACGATAAGCGGTACTATCGTAACCTTCGTTTGTGTAGGAAACTGCTAGGCCCATAAGGGCTGTAAGATTCATAGGATCAACTTTCAAAGCCTGTTCTAACGCTCGAATTGCCGGTGTTTCCTTTTCATTTTGGGCTTGTGCTGAACCTAACAATACCCATGCATCGACGTGCTGGGGATCCTTTTGTACGGCGGCCTCAAAAGCTAGTGCGGCGAGAGATAAGTTACCTCCCTCGTGCATTATCCGCACACCCTCATCGAATGGGTTGGAGATATCTTTAAACAGGTTCTCGTTTTCAAACATATAATCTCCGAGTTGTGGGTCGCGGAATGGTGATTGATGTGTTCCTACAGCATCAAATCCGTCCCATTGATCGAATTCGCTGATGTTCATACCGTTTAGGCTTTGTTCGCCGGCCATTTCCCTAGCAGCAGCATTTTCAGCTTGTATGCCCTTCCAAATAGATTCAAAATCCCCAAATTCATTGGTTTCGGATTCAAGGACTGACCTATCCATTTCATTTAATTCTCCTTCCGCCGCCAAACTCTCTTCGAGCTCCTTTCCTTGCAAATCAATCTGCTTGAATTGCTCTTCCCAATTTTGATCGTCGAGCTCAACCATCTTCCCCTTTCCTTTGTCTTGTTGTAAATCCTGCGCAGGTTGTTGATACTGTGGTTGATTCATCATATTCATGCCCATACCCATCCTGTTCATGCCCATCATTCCCATACCCATGCCCATACCCATTTGAGGACCTTGATATGAGTAACCATTCGACATATTTTGTGCCATAGGACTCGCAGAACGCGCGGAGCTTGATTGGCCCATCTGTTGAAATCTAGCAAAATCCGCAGGACTGAATGCTGTACCTTTGGGAGCTTGGAACGCCGCCTCCATCATTGCCTGCTCTGGCATTCCTGGCATTCCAGGATTGAACTCCTGAGCCCATCCTCCAACAGCTGGAGATTGAGATCCATTTCTCATTTGCGCGTTCTGATGAAGATCATGTTGCATAGCGAAAGCTTCTGGTGGGAGTTGACCATTCTGTTGCATAAAATCGTTCATCATCTGCCAATTTGCAAATCAGTAAACAACATCCTCGAGAGATACACTGCGTTGACAAAGGTGTATTATCCTGAATTACCTACATGATCTTGACTTCCGTTCATGTTCATACCGGAGCGCATGCCCTGCATACCGCCTCCAGGCGCTCTACCGACCAATCTATCCCTCTGTAAACTCTTATCATCCTGAACATGTTTGGTGAATTGACTGAGAGGGTTTCCTGCTGTCGAGCATTCTGCACCGCCCATGAAAGACATGGCTGATTAAAATCGATTTTATATCTTTTGTAACTCGTAATGATAGGTTCGCCCTTTGCCGTTTGCGTTGTCACTTTATTTAGTGATCGTAATGCTAAAAGTTTCGTCTACTATTCAAGAGATGACTTCTGATGGGAATGTAATTAGACAGGAATATATTATACAAGAAGGAATTAAGATTCTTTGTAATTATGATAGATCACCAGGTGGATGTTTAATAATTGTTTTCGTGACTGGTATGGTCGAGTGGATGCAGGAGAATACTTAACATGCATGAGAACGTGGATGAACTGTGGGGTCGCGGTACATTAGAAATTCAATCGGACCACCTCGGTTGAACAACACAAACACCGATTAGAGTGCAGCTCTGTACTGTTGTATCGTAAGGGGTCACATGTTTTGTTTTTTCAATTCTTTTTCGAGATCTTTCTGTATACAAACGAGTTGGGCTGACTGAATAGGTATGTATTAGATCAAAGTAACTTTGGCCTTTGGAGTTGAATCGGAAAACGATTATTAAGTAGGCAAAATACAGCATCAACAGATATCACATAATATATATCACATACTAATAAGATATGCGGTGCTGAGGTATGTAGCAAGTGGCGAGAGGCATAAAATTGTATATTTTGAATAAAAAGAGTTACACTCTGTAAGATGCACTGAGTGGAATTTTGTATAATTTCTTACTGTGATTCAGATCTTCAAGTCGTCATGCCTGATCAGATCAAAGCCTTTATATTACGACCGAATAAGCTTCTGGGGGTTATAATACAAGGTGGAAAAAGAGGAAGCGTCCATAAAAGTAAAGCTGCATAGAAGATCCAGCAACTTTTGAGACTTCCCATACACCTCTAATAGATGACTAACGCCTACCCAAACTCGTCATACAAAGTATTCATTCGATCATTCGTTAATCGATTCGCCCGTTAGTCAACATAACACCCAAATATTCAGCCTTCTCCTTAGAATGATGAGCTTCTTCCACCACGGTCACCACCATATCCTCCACGGTCACCACGGTCACCACCATATCCTCCACGACCACCACCGTATGATCCACGTCCACCACGGTCATTGTTGCCGAATCCACGGTCGTTGCGCTCACGGCCTCCAGCGCTTCTCTCGCCAAGACTGTAATCAACTCTCAGTTTTCGGTTGAAGACCTCCTTTCCTTGTAATTGTTCAAGAGCCTTCATGGCACTATCAACATCAACAAAGTCTGCGTGGGCGAAACCTCTTGGCTGTCCAGTGCGTCTATCAATAGCAACACGAACGTCAATGACATTTCTAACCTCGCGGAACAAGCTGTTCAAATCGGCATCAGACATCTCGAAGGCGAGGTTTCCGATGAAGAGGCACTTGGAAGGTGGGTTTTGATCTCTAATCTTTGGTGTTCTGTTGACGTAGTTGACAACAAGTCTTCGGCCCTCAAAGATAGTTTGGTTCTTGCCTTCAATGGCTGCAGTTGCGGACTGAACATCTGCGAAGTCAATGTAGGCAAATCTGAAGATATTGTTAATTATAGTTTATAAAAAGTAGCAACATATCGAGTACTTACCCCTTGCTCAAACCTCTAGCATCTCTAGTGACTCTGACATCGGTAATGGTTCCGAAGTGCTCGAATTCCTTCTTAAGATCCTCTTCGGTAATGTCGAACAACAAGTTACCAATGTAGACACCATTGTTAGGCTCAATGGAAAGACGATCTACGTGTATGTCCCTGCTACCAAAGCCCACGCTTCTGGATCCGAATCCAGTTGCTTGAGCAACGGTTTCCTTGGCCTCTGAGGCATACTCTGAGACGGTCTCTGCGGCGGAATTGATAGCTGATCGGACGGCTCCTTCCTCTTGTGCATCTTCGTTCTCTTCTCTGGCATGTGCATCATCACTTGCAAATCTTCGGAATACTGCTGTTGATATTCTCTCGTTTGATGCTCTGACAACGAATGGGGAAGTAGTGTTGATGGTGCGAGGTTTAGAAACGAAAGAGGCGTTGGAAGCAGCTCTGAGAGCGGCACGACGGACGAAATGCCTTCAGCAATCATTAATTTTGAGTTGTAAATAATGAAATTGCTACATGTGAACTTACATATTTGCGGATTTGTTAGAAGAAATCGGGTTAATGAGAGATTTCTATTTAATGAGGGGCGAAAAGAAAGATTGTTGTGATGTTGAGTTTGATGGCCAAAAATATTATTTCGATTTTTGTTTCTTCGATAAGCTTGTACATAATGGGTTTAGCGCTACCCTGGTGCTTTCTAGAGCTCAGTCCACCCCCGCATGATTTCAGATTAAATCAATCCATGATACTCGAGTCTCGATAACATAAAACATTGACTGACTGTACTTGCTGTATATACCTTACATAGCAGGAGTGGAGGCTGTTGAAAGGATGAAAACAATCAATTCATCGACAGGAAGTAAGTGGTCTCTCTTTTCTTTCATTTTCCATATCTATTTTGTGGTTTTCATCATTATCATCCGCGGTGATATGTCTCTTGAAGTCGAAGATGATACTGGAATGCATATCTCATGTATGCAACTGCAATCTGTTTTTGAATACTTTGATCTTTTGAACAGCTCATGAGCCACCATATCTTTCCAGATATTACTTCCACAATCGCGAGTCAAATAGGCAGCAGTTGAATGTTCCATATCCAGATCCGGAACTGAGCAGCAAGTATCACTGTAAAGCCAGGCTGTTCTTTCACTGCAATAGATACATCTGAATCTGTCTAATACGAAGGGTAGATTGAATACTGGGTGATGTATCCGCAAGGTCATTGCAACTCAAGAAAGTCCATGAAGTACTTGGTTAGATCAGATCATGTGTTGGCTAATGAACTGAATATGGCTTCCTTTATATATATGTTTTAACCACTCAATCAGCTCTTGCTCTTTTACAACCGGGCCTGGTTAACTCTGATTAGAAGATACAAACAAGTGTCAGTGTGATACTGAAGAAGAGATCGTTGCCAAATACTCAGTTACTACAATTCAGAAAAGAATAAGACAGGAACGTTGAAGAATGCCTAATTGATTCCCAAACTAACGGCGAGGGCTTCCAAACTCCAACTCCAACTCCAACTCTGCTTAACATTGGCCTTTTGCCGACTTTGAGAGCTCCAATTGCCTTTCAAAAAGTTGAGGTGACGAATGTACAATGATTTCCAAAGTTGTAGTATTGTATATTACAGTCAACCAATCATTTCTTTTGTTATCTAAGCGATAAGGTAAATACAATTTATTCAATCCTAGGTAATTCCTTTCGAGAATTTCACTTCTTAGAACATTCATTGGCCCTTTAAATGAAGGCCGAGAATTGTGGTCTATTATGGTGAAAGAATGAAAGTCGCCCATGGACGGTGAATCTGTTCAACGCCATGTCTTTAGGATTCTTGATGAGGAATTGTTAGATCTTTCTCTATGCAGTTGCGGGGTTTAGATCGGAAGCACCAAACCGTATCTAGACTAGATTAAAGGTCAAAATAGGTCAGCCAGATTCCACCATCATTCAAAAAGCACACCCAAGTCCTTCAAGAACCGTACCCCATAAAAAACACAATCCAGTCAAATGGACATAGACTATACAACAATTGGCACGGCAAAAGACCTGGGAAACGGCCTCTTTGCAACAGTCGATTTAAATTCTGGAGATTCTATCATTGTCGTACAAAAACCCCTTTTATTGATTGCCGAGAATCAGGCACTGCATCGAGTGTGCGCCAATTGTTTTCTAGAAGCAGGAGAAGGAGTGGAGCTACAGCCCTGCTCGAGTTGCGGTGTTGTCAATTTTTGTTGTGATGATTGCGAAAAGTTGTCACTGAATTCCGAGGGTTCCCACGGAGCAGAATGTGACCTTTTCAAATCAAGAAAGCCATTTGAACATTCTAGATCACAGATCAGCGCCCAAGCCGTAACAAATACTGCCTGTACTTATTCAAATTGCCGGTTGAAAAAAGCAACCTTGAACTGTATTGGCTGCAAGGCAGTGAATTACTGCGGTAAAAAATGCGAAGACCTAGACCGCTCACATCATGAGAAACAATGCAAGGCCATCCAATCGCAAAGTCTTGAGAACTCTTTAAACAAGATGCTTCCTACAGCTGTGCGTGGTACCATCCAATTGGTCAGCAACCCGGCAGTATTGGCAAAAGATTCACCTTTAATGGACCTTGAATCTCACGAGGACGACCTCAGAAGCGTCCAATCAAAATGGGATGATATATCATTACAAGCCCATGGTGTAGTGAATCTTCTTCAACGGAAACCAGAATTTGTCAAGTATGCTCTTGAGTCTCTCTGTCGGGTAAGTACAACCCTCCATCTTTGATTTTATCTCTGCTAAAACAGACCTGCAGCTCTCTACTAATGGGTTTCGTGTCGAATCTAATATCGGCAATGGTCCAATTGGACTATGTCTTGATCCCCTGCTGGCACGCGCTAATCATCGCTGTCACCCAAACTCAGCTATAACATTCGATGGAAAGCGTGCTACCCTCCGAGCTCTCTTCCCTATCGCAAAAGGAGAGCAAATATTCATATCCTATATCGACGAAACACAACGACGAGAAGTTCGACGAGAAGCCTTGGCGAAAACTTGGTTTTTTCAATGCCTTTGTTCTCGCTGCACAATATTCCAAAGTATATATGGTAATCTCGTAGATTATCCCATGGTTTCAACGCCTGTACTTGATAAGCTCGTCAATTTCCAAGAAACTTACAAGTTTGCAAAGGCTAGAGTAGCAGACGAAAATCCAGAGACAATCACCAGGCTCTTCTCTCTACTCCATGTATTACGACATATCGAAGTTACGATCTCAAACGCTCATAAAATCTACCAGAATATTGACCGACGTCTAGAGTTTTTCAATAAAGCTTTAAGGAATTTAAATGATTTCATCCTCTTACAGCGTTACGCGCAACAACCTTTACCAACAGTCCTTAATGAAATCTATCTTATTTATCTAGAAAAAGAGGACTATATCTCTGCGCTTATCGTACTAATCTTCTTGATCATTCATGCTGATCCCTTTAATTACCCAAGTCCATATCATCCGCAACGTGTTACTAGGATACTAGCATTACAACGATTGTGTAAATTCCTTGCAAGCTTGGATCCAGAAGAGTTCGGGAAATGGGAGACGGAGAACCTGAACAAAGGAAGGCAAGGGAGCCTAAAGAACATCGACTGGATTAGTACGTGTCAGTTGGTTATATATGGATTAAGAGAGACAGGAAATAGATGCTGGGGAAAACAAAGTGGGGTTATGAGGGGGGTGGAGGTGGATATTACGGATGTAGAGAGTATTCAGGAGAAGAGGGGAGATGGAGAGGTAGGGAGGACGTTGAAAACATGGGCTAGGGGAAAGGATGCTAGTGGATTGGGCGAGGTTTATGCGGAGAGGTTGGGGATGGGGCTGAGGGAGCTATCTGGCTTGGTGTGGGATGTTTTGGGGGTTGCGAAGGAGGGGATGGTGGCTAATTAAGGTTGTGAATTTATGATAGGTGGAAATGGAGAAAAACAACGTCTGGGAGGGGTTTAGATAGGAACGAAAAAATCGGGATGGGAGTCAGGAACGGAAGAAGAGAGTCACATCACAATTCAGTTTGCGAAATGATCGCTATCTCAAATATTTACGGCACGAAAAATTCTTTACAGGTTGAGCTAGATGCATACTTATGAGGTTTTAAGATACGTGTTATGAAATATGAAGTATGACATATAATGACTACACCAGAAAACATTACTATTAACTACCTCTTTTGAAGACAATTTGTGAAGCATGCATGAATTATGATTTTGAAGATGATAATCTAAGGTATTCGACACCCCGACAGAAGTGGAACTATAACCCTAATTATAATTCCTCCCGATGATTCTCATGCTCATGCTAATGAACACCCTCCAAGCCAACCCAAATGCTCCGGAGACAGCGAAGATGGGGTGAAGAAGCAACCCCCCAAAATGTGCAGACGTGCAATAACATATGATCTCCGTCTCATTCCAGCATCGTAGAAACAATATGCTCGATCGTTCCCATGTGATGTTACCCCCACAGAATAGTACCAGAGCGACACAGTTTCTATATTCTATACACCTAATGAAGCGAAGTTGTATTGAAGACTGTACATTGATCTAATTCAATTGATAGCGCTCGGTATGTCTATTTTTGACTACAGATCAACAGTTGGGATATCGCCACAAATGGGGCCTGGATATTGTAGAGGAGTTTGTTTGCTAACCTGGGGTTATGTTTTATGGTGAGGAATTTTGTGATTCTCTATTTAGGCTTGGGTGTTGAGACATGGTGTGTACATTGGTACTTCTGCTGGTCGCATAAAACCTCGGAGACTGGGAGGAGTATCATATACGCAATAAAGAATTGTGTATTTCGGATACTGCTGCAGGAGAAATATCTTATTTCTAAGCTAAATATTTCCAATGCTGTGGTACTTTTCAAATATACTCAAAGGAAGTTACATACAGCATACCTAGGTATACATCGCTAAATAATGCTAATCACTAGTTAAAAACAAGCGAATCATTGATGTTCCTAAGAAACTACTGCAACGCACCATTTTGCAGATGAAAAGAATAACAGGCATAACTTAGGAGCATGCATCTCGGCCATTACTAATCTATGCTCATCATCGAGATTTCTGCTCAGAATTAGTTAAACAATAGTAATAACTGGTCGGTCGTCTAATGTTTCTGTGACTGCAGAATCAAGGAACTCTCCCAGCCAGGGACTGAGTCTCCTTAAATTCATGAATGACAGGTGAGATTCTAAAGTGTTGGGTTTGTGAGGCAATTGTCTTAGTATAATGGAATTATGGAAGAATTATTATAAGTGCTGGTAGAAAAGTTAGGCAACAGATCTATGATCTCGAAATAAGTGATTTCCGATCGTGCCTTCGTAATGGAATTATTGGAGATAGCAGACGTAAAGTCAAGGCTAAGTTTATTAAGTAATTGCCTTAGGGCGATTTATTTCTGAACGTACTTTCTCTAGGTCCCCTGATTTTGCTGAAGAACTAGGTGTACTGGCAAATGAGTTTGCAAATGCACACGCTGATGGAGACTGTCCTAATGGTGGTGAACCAAGCTGCATGTAATATTGCTCTATATAATCTGCGGACGCCGATGCAAGGCGTTGAAGATATTCAGCTTCGATCGCTTCAAAATATGAGTTTGAAAGGTCGTTGTGATCTGGATAACTAATTTCGTATGTAGGACAGTATGTTTCACTTGTTTAGACTGTGACCAGTGGGATATCCTAGTCGAGGTCCATTGCTGTTTACAATACCCTGACAATCAAATCCGGATTCGTTACTTGATGGAGATTCTTTGTCAAGGTGCCTCCGCCCTTGGGCTTGATCTCGAACCTGGTGAAAACCCAAGAGTACAATTTGATTAACTCGATCAAGGCTTTGAGGAGCGCCATATTCACAAAAAAGAGGAAGAAAATAATCGCACTTAAATTCCCTGCCGATTGAAGAAAGGTGAAGGTGGTCCAATACGTGCTCGTAAATAGTCATTTCCGATTGGCGATTACAAGAATCTTGAGAGTGGGAATACACAGTCGGAAATAATCCTGATGTTTGGAGTAAGAATATGGTATGGAGAAACTAAAAGGATAGTTGATCATTGAGATGGGTTGCCATACATGTGTGTATGGGGAAACAACCTTCTATTACCTATACAAGGTAGGAGTCGCTCAACTCTTTTCTTCCCGTAACAATCCAGTGAGGCATCCACCACCTTGAAAGTTGAAAATGCAATGTTCTTCCTTGGAATAACTTGAAGTATTGGAAAACCAGAACTGTGAAAAGAAAATGACCTGGTAAGAGGTTTGTATTCCCACCATCTAAAGTTTCAAAATTACCCACCTAAGACTGGATGAAATCAACACTCGTCAAGGAAATGGTCTTCAAGAATGCGAAGGAACTACGAAGGTACCTTTTCAATCATGCATGAGACGGTGTTGTTCATCTATCACATTGTCATCTTCAGAACACATAGCACAGGAAAGTAATTTGAATGTATTTGTATTCAGATTGGGTATCGCCTGCTAGCCTATTTGCATCCAGCAAATTACAGCCGCAGCTGGGTATGAAACTAATATTTATGCAAGTGTATCGTAGCCATTGACAGATCTTGTTACTCAAGAAATGTGGATATGACATCAAATGTCCCATTAGCAGTCTGATGTATGCAAATCGCTAATACATATCATAACTGAAGCGCGAGGTATGCAAACTATTTAAGATTGGTATATCTGATTCGATGATACCATATCATGCTTACTCTCTGTCGCTCTTTCCTCTCCATCCTCTGGTTGGGGTCTCTCCTTGTTTGGATTGAGCGTTGGACAAACTAGGCTTGACTCTGATCTTTCCACCCCATTTCTCAGACCAATCCAAATTGACGATAGCTCCATCAGCTTCTTGACTATCTTGCAATTCAACGAAGCAGAAATGGCTATTGCCCTCTCTTGGTTCTCTTGGGGAGCACAACTTGCTGACCCACTTAACAGTATACTCGCTGAAAAGCTCTCTAATCTCTGCCTCGGTTGCGGCCTCATCTCCGAAATCTGGTAAACCACCGACATAGATTCTTTGCTTCTCAACAACTTTTCCTGAGGCTCCTCCGGACGCACGACTGACTTTAAGACCCCACTCATTGCCATCGAACATCTTAACTGCATCATTGACTTGAGTATTGTTGGCAAGATCAACGAAACAGTAATAGTGGTTGCCACCTTCCTCAACCTTGGAAGGGTGTGGAGAGATCAACTTGCTAACAACTTCAACATCAAAACCTTCAAAGATTTCTCTGATCTTGCGGTTTGCCGTTTCTTGATCATCAATTCTTGGTAGTCCTCCAACGTAAAGTCTTCGACCATCCTGAGAAGAAGAGTCTACTTGACGTTCTGGACGCTGAGAAGTTTCTCTGTCAGAGCTCTTCCAGCGGTCGTTTGTGTAAAGAGGAGTCTCTGACGAGGTTCCTTGTGGACGAGTGCTACCTGTGTTTTGTTAGTGACAGTTTTAAGGAGTTGCGGTATAAATTTGGTGACAGGTAAAAATTCAATGCTTGGAGATTCACTCACGGTCTGATCTCACACCAGGCTTAACTCTGAGTGTACGGTTTTTGAATTCTTGACCGTCATAACGATTCAAAGCCTCCTCAGCCATATCCTTGGTGGTGAAAGTAACGAAACAGTAACCAGGGTTGCGCTTTGTCATGGAATCGATGGACATATGAACAGTTCGAGATTCACGTGGAACATCTTGGAAAATGGTTTCAATATCCTCTGGGGTGGTATCGTAACTTAAGTTACCAACATAAATGCGACGACCTTCCTCAATAGCCTTGTCCGACTCTGTGAGTTGTGAAGATTTTCTTGGCGAGTCACCTGCCTCGTTTCGAGAAAATCTCCCCTGGCCTTGAGATGGTCGATCACCACCATCCTTACCACCAACTCCACGATTTCTTGAAGAGGACCAAGGAGATACTCTCTCTTCGCCGCTTGGGCTTTGAGGAGTGTCTTGCTTAACGCGCCAGTTGTTGGAGAACATTTTGAAGGTTGAAAATGTGGGGTTTGGGAATCGAAATTGTTGAATTTAAATTCAAAATTAAATTTTTTGGAGTTCGTGGTTAAAGAGAGAAATACTCCACGGTCTATGAATATCAAAAATATCAAAAATAGGAGTTGAAGTTGAGGAAATCTTCTTGAATAAATTTTCAAGATGAACAAAATTTTCCGCTCAAACACTAGAGAAGGGAATTTCATCACGTGACTATATATCTTTTTCGCTTATCGATACCGCCCGGCAGTATTTTATTTTTTTCGATAATCTTTATCGCACACCCCGCCATGACAATTGCATTGCATTACACAGAGAATCAGCATCCTCGAGATTGTAGACTTCAAAATGGCTACAAATACTACCAAACCCATACATAGTCTTATCATTGACGCGGGACCAATTATTAAGAATGACCCTTCAGTCTCAACGCTTCTTGGCCAAGCAGAAAACCTTTATACTATCCCCCTCGTTATCGACGAAATCAAAGATGCCGTTACAAGAGCCAGATTCGAGACCACATTATTACCTTTTCTCAAATTAAGAGCGCCTAGATCAGCTAGCATTAAAGTTATAACTGAATTTGCGCGGAAAACGGGTGATTTGGAAGTACTCAGCAGACAAGATATTCATTTGATGGCTTTAGCATATGAGCTTGAATGTGAACGAAATCATGGAGATTGGAGATTACGAAGTGTACCAGGACAGAAGAGATTAAATGGAGCACCTCCCGCATCATTGAGTGGCGAAAGACCTGCCGATGTCACAGAGGCACCACAAACATCTACAGATGCCGCGGCGCAACCAGCAATCGAAACCAGAGGCGCATGGGGAACATCAATACCTCAAGCAACAGAAGAATCTAAAGTGGAGACACAGCCCATTGAGGAAGCATTAGAGGCTACCCATATATCAACAGCCGATGATGCAAAGAGCGTAGAGAAACCAGCAGAGGACGCAGTCTCAGAAGAATCGACCAAAGACGGAGTCACAGAGGAACAAACCCAAGAACCAACTTCCACAACAGAGCCCGAAACCATTCCAGAAACAATAGAAGAAGTTCCTGCCTCTGAATCCGACGCCGAATCCGACGGCGAAGGCTGGATCACCCCCTCCAACCTAAAGAAGCACCAACAAAAAGACACAAACTCCTCGTTCTCCCCCCAAGAAGAATCCAAAACCATCCAAGTAGCAACCATCACCACCGATTACGCCATGCAAAACGTCATGTTACGCATGAACCTCAACCTCCTCTCCCCCTCTCTCCAACGCATTCGCCAGCTCAAAACCTGGGTTCTAAGATGCCACGCCTGTTTCTCCATCACTCGAGAAATGACCCGACAATTCTGTTCCCGCTGCGGCAAACCTACTCTCCTCCGTACCTCCTGCTCAACAGATAAAGACGGAGTGGTAAAAATTCATCTCAAGAAAAATATGCAGTGGAACAACAGAGGAAATGTTTACAGTGTCCCAAAGCCAGTTGCCGGGACGGCGAATGGAAAGAATATCAAAGGAGGTGGCAAGGGAGGATGGGGTAATGATTTGATATTGGCGGAGGATCAAAAAGAATACGTGAGGGAAATGGCGACGGAGAAGAGGCGCAAGGAAAAGGATCTTATGGATGAAGATTATCTACCTAGTATCTTGACGGGAGATCGTGGAAGAGCTGGTGGAAGACCAAAAGTTGGAGCGGGCAAGAATGTCAATTCAAGGAAACGACATTAAATAGAATAGAATTAGTAAAAGTAATCTCAAAATTGATTCCCCCCCAAAATTGACTCGAGTACTTGCACCAAACACATTTTTTATAGATTTATAACAAGCATGCTTTTGAAATTGTGAAATTCCTCGATTCGGGGCTAGAAAAACAATTTCATCTCTATAGCGAGAGAAGAGGAGCGTGGAATTGCAATTCCTTCGTCCCCTACTACCACTAACAGAAATCGAACTTTCTCTCCCTCTTTCTCTTACACACGAAGAACCGAAAGATAGATACAAGAAGCCCTCGTCCAGAAACGCCAGTATACTCCGCACATTCCCTTTCAACCACCCATTCCATTCCATCCACTAGCTTGAGCATTCTCGCAGCCAATTATTCAATTCAGCCTTGCCTTTCCCTTCCTACACATTTTGTCGATTGGACACAGCGCGCGTTATGCACATATTTGTCATTTTCCCCTTCTTCTCTCGCTTCGCCTGCTACTCATGTCAAGTAGGTAGCCCCCCATCTGTACCTCATGAAGTGGTGAGAGATATTTATTGGCCCAAAACCTTGAGATCCTCTGATTGCGCACGTATTAGCAATTACTCCTTTCATCCAATTCTACCTCCAATTGCATCTCCCATCCCATCCTCCTCCTTCTCTTCCCCTTCCCCCCATAACCCACGAAATCCTCCAATCGCAACCCCAACCCCAACCCCAACCCCAAACACAAAACACAAAACACAATAACTAAAAAAACACCACTCACTCTGCTGCACCAAAAGCAATCCATATCTCTTCTTCAACGTAACTCTATGTCTCGAATACTTATCATCCGGGCTGAATCTGGCTGGATGCGCACTCTTGGTCACCTCGCCTCCAATCACTTTCTTCAAAGTGTACTTGCGCTTTCCAGCCGCGTCGAGGGTGTACATAAGATGCATTTTGATGAGAGTTTCTACGTTTGGTGCGGGTGGTGAGTTTTCGGGGAGTCGAGGTAAAATCTGATGGTCAATTGTTAGCGCATGCGCGATAGAAAATGAATTGCACAGGAGAGATCGATAGAGAAAATGGTCAGGGTGATTGAAGTGATTAGGGAACATACATACGGGATTGAGACTTGGAGTCGTGTGGATTGTCGGTAGTTGCAGGTTGGAGGTCTGAAGCTTCTGTGGATTAAATTTCTTGACGAACTTTTTTTTGGTAAGGATTGATCCGTTGTACGGGTGGGCTTAGCGGGGATTTTCACGTGACATATGAATTCGGCTCTTGCGCGTTCACTCTACTGTCTATCACTTTGACCATAGGACAGGAGGGGGGGCATGTTGTGATCGTGGACTGAAAGGAAGCCCGGTCTAGCCATCAATTTAACAAACATATGTTTAATTCAGAACTTCATGCATTATTCATTTGTGATTTAGACTAGGCTACACTAGGCTACTTCGATCATCAAAAAGTTGCTTCTAGGCACATCTCACACCATTGCCTTGAACAACTTAACCTGAAAACTATTGTAAGAGCTTCAGGTAATTGGAGAAAGAAACAGTCTCCAAAAGATAACTCACCAGCCCCCGCTTATTTCTGCGTCACCCTCTATTGCAACACTTATGGAGTGTAGCAGTCTCGCTACTCAATGATAATATTTTCTTCGTGACATAAAATTAACTATGCCACGAATATGAATAGGTCTCAAGGACAACGCTGGGCTGGTTGCTGTAGCCAGTACACACTTAAAACGCAAATGGAATATGACCTGAAGACAGCTTCCGCGTGTTGCCAATTTCTACAATGCGGAGAAAACGAAAAGCTAAATAGATAGTTAGTAGATGCTTAGGGTAATCGTATATATACTACTTACGTTGTTCGTTGCAGCAATGGCAATGCTGTCTTCGAAAGGATGCCAGCTCATATGTAATATCTTTTTATTGAAGTCGATTTGGTCTGCGTCTGTTTCTTTCTTCATCCTTCCACCTTGACCACCGACACCAGCAGCTGGACTACCTGCCCTAGAGTTGCCCTTTTTACCATTCGCGGCGGTTGGGCTACCAGATGGGTTGATTGGTGTTGGAACACCAACCTTCTTAGCCTTGAAAGCCGATTTATCGGCTTGGAGAACCACCTCCACTTCCTTATCGGGATCTGATGGATAGATCATAAAGTTATTGTTATAACTACCAGTCATGACATTCTTAGCGTCGCCAGAGAACACTACCTCAAATTTGTCAAAGATACTATCATTTTCATAAGTATCACAAAGACGTGGTCGAAGATGCTCATGGATCGGAATAGTCTTGACAGGTTGTCTCTCCATGTTAACATCCCAGATTTTTACAGTGAGATAATCACGTGAAAGGATGTATCGACCATCATGAGAGAATCGGACGTCAGAAATGGATGAAATGATTTCCGAGAAAAACGATCGAGCAGATGGATCTTCCTCCTGTTCAAATTCTAAAGATGGTGTGAGCAAAGTTGAATTCAAAGGACAACGACATGAAACTTACGCTTTGCGTGTTGGTCGCAGAGAGCGCTCTCTCTCATATCTGCAAGCTTGATTGTTCCTTTTGAACTTGCATACATAAACCAGTTACAACTTTGGGGGTGGAACTCTGCAGCCGTGATGACTTCAGTAAGCTCCTCCATGTTGGCGGGCTTGATATCTACGATGTTGAAGCTTTGGTCTTGAATATTCAAGTTCCATAAGTTTATTCGCAAATCATCACTGCTAATGAATGTTTCCCCGTCACTGTTCACTGAAATGCTGTTGATATGGTATGCATGTGCATTTGCATATGTTCGACGTGGTACTGCGGCAACAACAGTGTCGTGATGAGTTAGGCGGGGTAATTTCAGGTCGTGAGCACTGTTGAAGTGTACGTTTGATATGGGTCGAACACCTCCACCACCTCCTGCAGGATTTCCTGGAGTCAAATCGTGGGAAAGGTTGTTCTCTGCAACAACTTTCAGTGACTTCTCAAACACTTTCCATAACTTTATAGTCTTATCGTTCGTTGAGAGTAGGTAATGAGAGGCGTTTTGTCGTTTGCACCATTTGATCTTGTTGATCTTCTCTTCTATCTCTAATGACTTGAGGTAATCGAACTCGGGCTCGTGAGATTGAAATTCTGTGTGGAATTTGTACTCGCATGTTTTTTTCTATGATAGCGTCAGCATTTCGGCGACTTGCACGGTCTAGACCAGAGATTGAAATTCGTACCGTCTCATTCCTTTCAAAAAGAACAACACGTCCACCTTTGTCTCCCGTAGCAAGGTAATTTCCGGTGTGATCGAATTCGACTGTCGATATGATATCCGCTGTAGCCCGTCGTGTTAGCAATTGTAGAAAGAAGTTTGCACTATTCGCAGAAAGCGAAAAGCGCCATCAAGATACGGATCAATAAATTGGCATACCTTCTGTTATATCTTCGACATCGCCTTTATCACCAAAACATCTGATAACAATTTGTTAGCATTGATTTCAAAGCGGTAGTGCAATCAATCCACCAAACACATTGAGAACCCCTCATCCATGAATTCCCGAGTGGCAGATAAACAAGAGTATAATGGCAGGAGTATACTAACTGCGTGAACTTCCAAGTTGGAGAGTTCGGTTCCCCTTCTACCATCTTTTACGAGCTGTGCGGAGGAGATTATATCCTCTTCCTATTGCGGGCTATTTGGAAAAGGCAGTCGATATTGAAAGGATAACTCGATCGCGTCAAAATGTATAAGTTTGACTTTCCGGCCGATCTGTGATGCAAGGAAGGCTGAGGTATCCTGTACGTGCCAGGGTAGGTGATGGTGGTGGAGTTGTAAAAAGGTTGTAAATTGTAATCAAGTATTATCGACGGTGTGTGCGGCAAGACTACCCAAGGTACGAGATAAATCAAGCTATAAAAACACTTGATAGGTGGCAAGATAAAGAAAGCGACAAGATTGAATATTGGAGAATCAATCTTGTTATTGGGGTTTTCAAGAAGACTGTTTGTTGTTCGTGTTGGAGGGGGGGGTGGTGGTCGAAGGGGTGGTGGTATGGTAAGGGTTTTTGGGATTGAAGGTTGTAGGCTGAGTGAGGTTGTACGTTTATTTATCGAAATTCGTGGGGTTGAACCTTCGTTATGAGATTGATTACCTGGTACAGTACGAGAGTACACGGGTACCTATGAGATGATGCACCACAATCTTGAGGTGAGGCCCGCGCTGCTGTTAAATCAAGAGGTAAGAAATTTAAGGTTTTCCTTCCCATCTGATGACAAAATTAAGGCTTTCAAAATCTATTTTCTTTAATACGATCGAGTATCATGCATTTGCCCATAAATTGATAATTTTGAAGGCAATGTGAATTTCCCAAGAGGTTTATTATATTTGTATTCTAATTGTAAGGAAGATAAATAAGAAGCTGTTGATTATCATCTTCATCGAGATCTAGGCACTCTTCTTTGAAGAATATAGAGAATTTTGGAAGTAGAAAAGGTCGTTCCTGAATCCTACCGACACAAGATGTTCATTCATTCATTCAATCGATGATGACCCAAATGCGGGCATGAAAGAACTCGGGTTGTCTCATTAGGTAAGCAAAGAAACATGTGTTGCTGCTTATATAATACTCCCATCATCTCTCAGTACGTGTCTCGCGTGTCTAGTTCGTCTTCTTTATGATACTGATTCAGCTTCGCCCCTCCATACCCCAACTATAAGGAACTATAAGGAAGGTATCAAGCAAAAAGAAAATACGGAATATGCGGGAAAAAATTGGAGTCCAATCAGTCTTGAAACCTATTACTCATGCTTCCAGAAACTAAAACCTAGATTTATTCCAACTATTTTGCAAACATGTGCCAGCCTCTAGGTGCTAGCTACCGAGTTGTAAACTCTGTTATCGGTGACTCCTGATCTATAAGCTCAATGGTGAAGAGATGATTGTAATACGATCATCGATCTTTACATCAATTTATCTCTCATTTCTCCTTTCTCCCTTCGTCTATAAGTCAAAGTAGTAATTTCTAACCCTAAGAACATGATGCTCCCTCACTTCACACGCCCAGCCTACTCATTCTTCGCCATAACAAGTACCCACGAAAGCCCTCTTCATCTTATCTTGTCCAATAGCTTTTAAACATCAACATACCTGAATTTCTCTATCTTCTATGGGGACAAGCCCCCAAACCCCCCATCCTCGCTACGCTCGATCTATCCGATCTATCAAATCATTTCTCCTTTTCTTCTCCGTCCCTTCTAGAGCTCGAGCGAAGCGAAAAAGCCTCCACGGCAGTGGCCCAGCGGAGCGGCATTACGTGAATATCACAAGAGCGTCTGAATATAGTGTCCTAACGCATCTACATTTGCATAGTAACAAAAATCTTGAAATAGTCCTCCCACAAGGACCTTGAAATCAAGTGATCTGAGCGCCTGGAAACACCGCGTGAGCAGTGATTGCATAGATGTAACAAAATGATTTCCTAACCCTTTTCCAATTGTTTGGAACTGGATCATCCTATCCCGATTCCCAAACATACGGGGCCATTTAACAAAGTATAAAAACCATGTGACGAATATGTGAAGGATCGTTTTGCCCGCCTTCTTCTTTTCACTAAGAGAAGAGTGCCGGACATAGACAGTAGTAGAGTAGCCTTGCAAATGTTGGCGTGCGGGAGGATAATTTTGATTTCCGTTTCAAAGTCACAATGAGAAAGCTGTGGATGCGTCAGGGCTACCTATTTTGCTTTATCTCATTTATGGTTTAGAGCATCTAGCCATGTGGTCTGGTTCTAGAGATAGTATCAGGTTTGTCGGATGCTCCTGAAACAATTTGTTTGTAGGGAGCAAACTCGCCCAGGGAGTTCTTTATTGGTCATTGTTTCGTTCACTAGGGACCCCCTGATTACAGATTGCTCGTCTTTTTGATATCTTTAACATCGTGCGCGTCGGTCCATCAAATGACTCGACAATAAAAAGTGACAGTGAATTGTTGATGCGATCTACGTGAAGCCTGGTCAAGTCATGTAACTCGATTGCTTGAATTGACAATGCGATATTAGAATTATGCGGCAGAGAGCCCCCGAAATCATACAATCTCCTCCCCGGTATCAATCTGGCTGATAAGACCTATCTAGACAGCCTACATACTACTTATTTGAACCATTCCCAGCCCCCATCCTCGCCTCGTAATTCTTAATAAACATTTCCTTTTCCTTTTCCGCCTCTGATTCATCTTCCGAGTCTGTACTTTCGTCTTCAGATCCCAGTTCCGCATCGACTAATTCTTCCTCTTCGTTTTCTTCTGCTTCTTCATCGTCATATTCTCTCTCAGCGTCGACTTCTATCTCATCTTCTTCTCCCTCTGCATCCATCATCTTGATGGTATCTTCCGTCGAGATATCTCCCTGTACACGCACAGCAGCAATATCCGGCGTGGCATCTTCATCCTTCTCGGAAGGCCCAGCTGTCTTCTTATTTTTCGGTTTCGCTGCCGCGGTCGAAGTTTTAGGTTTCGATGTTGACGGTCCCTTCATCATTCCATATTGCTTCGCTCTCTTAGCTTTTATTGGTAACTTTCCGCCCTTTCTATATTGTTTCCTCTTTGTCCTTGAATCAAGATGTCTCACTCCCTTTCCGCTTATTCCACTAATAATACCCTTTTCTCTTAATTTTTCGATTTCTTCTTCTGTCAATCGCATATCTGGTACTGGCACATGGACTTTCTTTCCGTCTTTTCCCTCTACGAAATCAGGTATGCTGAGCGCTACATCGAATGCATTTTCGGGAATTACTTTCTTGCTGCGAATGGCAATCAACTTTGTTTTCATGATGGCTCGGATCTTGGCGAGAGTCCCATTATTGTAATAGCCATCATGGTTGTTGTCGTATTGCTTAGCCATTGGTGCATTTTGTATAAGAGGAGCAAGAAGAGGATCTGTAATATCGCAAATTTGCCACACTTTACCGTCGAGAGTTAAAGAAGTACCATTGAACATATGTGAAGGACAGTCTCCCGTGCCGAAAACTTGATGTCTTGTGTATTGACTCCGCATATCTTTCCATTGACCATCAGGAGCACGCTCATCTTCTTCGTATAACTTAAAGAAAATTGTTTGATAAATCCGACAAGATGGATCTTTGCGGGGATCAACTCCATATCTTATGAGTGCATCACGCCAAGGACCGCTTCGGAATTGGTAACCCACATACTGAAGTGCAGGTTTCATCAGATAATATCCTGGCTCGTTGGCGAGACGATTTTGCAACGCACGACGAGTCCAAATTGGACGTTCGTTCATGGCTAGTTGAAGTGCGGCTACGAAGTCTTTGAGAACAGGATCATCTGGAACTTCACGAAATGGCTTTGTGGGGACATCTTCGTCTTCGTCGCAATGTACATACTGCATCTCGAGCTTTGGCATTTTCGAACGGTTCACTATGCTTGTCTCTCCTGTCTCGGCATCCACTTCGGTTGAGATTAAAGGATTTTGTCGATATCCCCAGTTGAATGGTAATGGATGGTGAGTGAATGTGGGTGGAGGAACAATTTCTTCATTTGGTTTCCAGCCTTTGTCAGTACCGAGCTTGAATTCTCGCATCTTGCCCCCTGATGAAAGTTAGCGATATAATGGAAATATGACTTATAAGAGGACTTACAATTGGCAGAGAATGCAGTTTCTTTGAAATGTGACATAAAAGTTGCACTAGATGTAGATTGGTGATAATCAGAAAGTCCTGGATCTTGTTAATGTATTGCAAACATAAGGGAAGAAGGTCACTACCTCTATAGCGATGACTCTGTTCTATGGCTCCTGCAGCCTCGACAGTATATTTGCCAACATTGTCTCGAAGCTTTCTCAGAATACTATTGGGTTTGTCATTCAAAGAGTGGGATTGATTTTCACCGAACGAATTCTTTTCACTGGTATTCTGAGATGTTGAATGCCCATCGTCAGTATAAGGGTCCTGAGATCCACGCTTGCGCTTTCTACCAGTACGTTTTGGTACGGTGATCTTGAGGAGAACATTGTTGGTGATGCTATTGTAAGATAGAATTGGTTCGCATGTGGGATCCTTGATTCGAAGAAAAAGCGGAATACATTCATCTTCAGTGCCCTCAAGAATCTGTTGAAGTTGTTAGTCCATAGTTGATATCAAGATTGTGATTTCATAGCTATCATGAGATGAGATTTACTTGTCAAGTAATAGAAGAATGTTGAAGTTATATAGCGCATGAAAATAGTTTCCACGTACCTTATTCCATTGTGGTTGACGTCCAAAAGTTTTGATACCATTTTCAAGATTCTTAACAATCAATGGATGCTCGACAGCGACAATTTCCCTTGGCGGGATTGTATACACCGGAGCAGATTGGTCTTCTTCTTCGTAGTCAAGATCTCCATCTTCCTCTTCGGTCATTTTCCTCAATCACTTCCATGCCTTCTGCCTCTTCATACTCATCATCATCCTCCCCTCCAACCCCAACGTCCTCCTCAGAATCCATATCTTCGTACTCTTCCATATTTTTGTAAGTAGATGAAAAGTTACCGGGATTGTAAAGCAAAATGGGTCTTTTTTATTTTGGATCCTTGAATTGTCTTTGATTCAATGCCGATATTCGACCATCCTGTTATTACCCTTCTCTTGG